GCATGTAGCTAGAGCAGTAGTTCCCAACCTGTGGTCAATGGACCACCAGTGGTCTGCAAGAACTAAAATATGGTCCACAGCCTCGGCGTTACTACGAGAGTGCCTGGTCTTGTGAAACCTTTTTATAGTGCCGAGGCTTATTAAATATGGTTTTCTGTGGGCGAGCAGACAGTGACTACTGGATGGTATAGGTCTGTATCAGAAACTAGAGCTGATGTGGTCTATCCAATGCAGTTTTCTGAATCAGCACCCCAAATAACCAAACTGTATCTAAAGTTGACCAAAAACTGACTCGTAACCCTTTTGGTTCCAATGTTAGAGAGTGGTGTGCACTCGCAACTCAGCTTCAATACCTGCAGGTGCCAAAGTGATGGTTTTTTGGCTTAGATGGGTCCCAAGCATCATGTCAAGGCCTAGAGGTTGGCAGGATTTTTACAGAGAGGGTTGTTGACGAGGGCACGCTTGCAAAATAGGAAAAGGAACTTCCTTGGCTCTCCCGCTTCAGGCCGGTCCAAACCCCAGAACAGGATGTGCGCTCCGCCCCGGTGTGTGAATATCCCTCGGGGTATTGTTTCATAACAAAGTGGTGCCGCCGCCTCTGCCGCCAAACCTTGCGTGACTCTGGGAGGGCGAGCTGAAGCCCTGCGTGACTAAGTGCGGATGGGGCCGGATCCCGTGCAACTTTGAACACCGAGGGCAACTTTCCCCCTTCCACAGCTATCAGTTGTTTCTGAAGAACACTCTCACGAAGAGGGTAATACTTGGAAGGGTGCTGCATGCCGTAAAACTGATTAAGGTGGGGCGATTATCTTAATTAGCTGCTAACATGCAAGGTCAAGCTGTATCAACAGTTTGCCTTTCCCACAAGGGTAATAAACTTGTCACAGAGTGTGCTTCGAAGGGTCAAAAAATACCCTTTTGTTGCCCCTCCATAGACTGTGACTCCTTGGAGCAGACATTTTCCTTCTCCACCGAGAGCCAGTGTGGCATCGTAATTTGAGCTGTTGGCTAGGGTTCCAGAGACCAGGATTCAACTATGGAGACCCTCTGGATGTCCTTGCGCATGTCACTTTCTCAACCCAGAAAAACCCATAGCAGTAGGGTTTATTTATTTATTTATTTATTTACTGTTTTCATATACCGCCTTTCTCAGCCAATTGGCGACTCAAGGCGGTTTCCAACAAATCAGTATCCATAAAACATAATATAGATAAAAAACATTAAACAGTATAAAACATCACAAAAGCAGTAAAAACAACCTCATCAGCGTCTCATTATTCTCAAGCATTGTCCAGTTCCATTGTCAGGTCATCCGATTTCCTATATTAGCTACTCTGTATTTGTAAACGCTTGCTCGAATAGCCATGTTTTAACTTGCCTCCGAAACGTCAAGAGGGAAGGAGCAGATCTGATCTCCCTAGGGAGGGCGTTCCATAGCCGAGGGGCCACCACTGAGAAGGCCCGGTCTCTCATCCCTGCCAAATGTGCTTGTGATGAAAGCGGGAGCACGAGCAGGGCCTCCCCAGATGATCTTAAAGTCCTCAGTGGTTCATAAGGGGAGATACTTTCGGACAGGTAAGTTGGGTCAGAACTGTTTAGAGCAGTGGTTCTTAACCTTCCAAATGCCGCGATCCCTTAATACAGTTGTGGTGACCCCCAACCATAAAATTACTTCCGTTTCTACTTCATAACTTTAATTTTGCTATTGTTATGAATCATAATGTAAATATCTGATATGCAGGATGTATTTTCATTCACTGGACCAAACTGGGCACAAATACCTGATACGCCTAAATTTGAATACTAGTGGAATTTATTTTGTCATTTGGGAGTTGTAGTTACTGGGATTTATAGTTCACCTACAATCAAAGAATATTCTGAACTCCACCAATGATAGAGTTGGGCCAAACTTGGCACAGAGAACCCCCATACTAATAGAAAATACAGTGTTTTCTGGTAGTTTTGGTGACACCTCTGACGCCCCATCGCGACGCTCCCAGGGGTCCCGACCTCCAGGTTGAGAAACACTGGTTTAGGGCTCTATAGGCCAAATCCAGCACTTTGAATTGGGCCCGGTAGCAAACTGGCAGCCAGTGGAGCTGGCGCAACAAGGGGGTTGTATGCTCCCTGAGCGCCACTCCTGTTAACAACCTGGCTGCCGTTCGTTGGACTAGTTGAAGCTTCTGGACCGTCTTCAAAGGCAACCCCAAGTAGAGAGTGTTGCGGTAGTCTATACGGGATGTAACTAGAGCGTGGACCACCGTGGCCAAGTCAGGCTTCCCAAGGTACCGGCGCAACTGGTGCACGAGTTTTAACTGTGCAAATGCTCCCCTGGTCACCACTGAGACCTGGGGTTCCAGGCTCAGCGATGAGTCCAGGATCACATCCAAGGGATGCCATAAGCTGCCAATGGCTTGAAGGCGCACATTAACCAAGAGTGCCTCTTCATTTTCCCTGCTGTATCTGTCTTGACTTTTCTGTCAGGACCTGATCGCTCTTAGTCAGAAATGCAGCGTCACAAAAATGCTTGATTGACTGTGCTTTAATTTCTGAGCTGAGGCTCGATGTGGGTTTTGCTCGCTTTATGGACCAGTGCCAGCCAGAGCAGACAACACGACAGCAGATGGATTGGGCTCGGGGTCCTAGCTACGTCTGCACTCTTATTTGCTCTGACTGGGTGACACATTCCTGTCTGGAGAGATGCTGGAATCCTGGCAGGGATTCCAGAAAAAGAAACAGACCATCTGTCAAAGGCTTTATGGCCGGAATCACTGGGTTGTTGTAGGTTTTTTCGGGCTATATGGCCATGTTCTAGAAGCCATTCTCTCCTGACGTTTCGCCTGCATCTATGGCAAGCATCCTCAGAGGTAGTGTTTTGGACTTCAACTCCCACAATTCCTAGCAGCCTTAGGCTGCTAGGAATTGTGGGAGTTGAAGTCCAAAACACAACCTCTGAGGATGCTTGCCATAGATGCAGGCGAAATGTCAGGACTGCTAGGAATTGTGGGAGTTGAAATCCAAAACACAACCTCTGAAGATGCTTGCCGTAGATGCAGGTGAAACCTCAGGATTGCTAGGAATTGTGGGAGTTGAAGTCCAAAACACAACCTCTGAGGATGCTTGCCATAGATGCAGGCGAAATGTCAGGACTGCTAGGAATTGTGGAAGTTGAAGTCCAAAACACAACCTCTGAAGATGCTTGCCGTAGATGCAGGTGAAACCTCAGGATTGCTAGGAATTGTGAGAGTTGAAGTCCAAAACACAACCTCTGAGGATGCTTGCCATAGATGCAGGTGAAACATCAGGAGAGAATGCTTCTAGAACATGGCAAAAACTACAACAGGGGTCCTCATACTTTTTAAACAGAGGGCCGGGTCACAGTCCCTCAAACTGTTGGAGGGCCGGATTATAATTTGAAAAAAAAAACATGAATGAATTCCCATGCACACTGCACACTTATTTGTAGTGCAAAATACACTTTAAAGCAATACCATCGTTTAAATGAAGAACAATTTTAACAAATATAAACTTAATATTTCAATGGGAAATGTGGACCTGCTTTTGGCTGATGAGATAGGATTGTTGTTGTTGTGTGTTTTCAAGTCATTTCAGACTTAGGTTGACCCTGAGCAAGGGCCGGGTAAATGACCTTGGGGGGCCGTATTCGGGCCTTAGATCGAGGACCCCTGACCTACAGCAACCCACAGACCATCTCCTTTGGAGGCCACAGAGGCTTGAACCTTGGATACGATCTTTTTCCATGAGTCTCTGAAGGTGCTCCTTCGTGGAAAGAAGCTTGTTTTCTGTATTTTCGAAGGCTTTCTTTGACAAACCACTGGATCGTTGTGAGTCTTCTAGGCGGCATGGCCATGTTCAAGAAGCATTCTCTCCTGATGTTTCGCCTGTATCTATGGCACAAGTTCTGAGGAGACCTTGGTGGAGGCTCCTTCTTTGGAAGCTTTTAAACAGAGGCTGGGTGGCCATCTGTCAGGGGTGATTTGAATGCAATATTCCTGCTTCTTGGCAGGGGGTTGGACTGGATGATCCATGAGGTCTATTCCAACTCTTTGATTCTATAATTCTATGACCTGTTGTAGATGCAGGCGAAACCTCAGGAGAGAATGCTTCCGGGCCATGGCCATACAGCCCGGAAAACTCACAGCAACCCAGTTTGTTTTCTGCTCACCCAGTTCCTAAATAGAGGAGGGCAGGACCCCCCCCCCCCACACACACACACACCGGACCCTCCTCTAAAGCTTCATTGAAGGGCTATACTCCAGTCCTAGTGCGCTAACTCTGTATACCCGAGGTCATTGTTAAAGCCACTTAACATTTATGCTGAATCTCTCTGAAAAGAGCAGAGCAGGACTTCCTTTTTGGCCAGAAGAGATGGCCCCACTCCAGATCTGCTGCTCGTTTGGCACAGATGGCATTTCTCTCCTTACTTTGTGCCTTTCAGGATGGAGTGTGTAGAGGCCGATTGTGGAAAAGTTAGCATACGGGATACTTGTGTAAGGCCATCAATCATGAGTATCTCTTTTGGCTCTACGTTTCCTCTAATACAGAGGCAGATTATGTCTTGAGGGAACACAAGCAGGATTTGCGCTCATGTCCGCCTGGCAGGCTTCCCATAAATAACAGGCTGGCCGGCTCTAAAATGCTACATACATCTACTATCCAAAGGCCTGGTTCCAGAACCATGATATTAATTTTTTTCTAAAAGCCAGGAGGTATGGAGCGGATCTTACCTCATTTGGGAGTGTGTTCCATAGGCGGGGGGCCACAGCCGAGAAGGCCCTGTCTCTCGTCCCCACCAGGCGCACCTGCGCTGTTGACGGGAGCAAGAGCAGGGCCTCCCCGGATGATCTTAGATTATGAGGTGGGACGTAGGGGTGGGTGTGTTTGGACAAGGAAGCTGGGCCAGAACCGTATAGAGCTACACTCCTTTTGCCAAGGCTCCCTTCATGATTCCTCCTCCTCCTTCCCGTTCTGCATTTCAGACTCCGGGCTGGTGGTGCCAAGTATCTCCTACGAGCTCCACAAGAAGCTTCTTTTGGTGGCCGAGAAGCATGGCCTCACTCTGGAACGGAGACTGGAAATGACCGGGATCTGTGCCAGCCAGATGGCCCTGAGTCTCCTTGGAGGACCCAACAGGTAAAGGAGGTCTCTCTTTGGGAGCCGAAACCCCCTTCTTTCCAGCATTCCTTGCTTGCGCTGACTGGCCTCAGCTACATAGACGTGGTTTGGCTCTAGAAGGAGTAGCTCTCCAGATCTCACTCCCTGAACCGAGCTTGACTCAGCTTGCAGGCCTCGTCGACTCGGTGGGTCTCGCTAGCTCCTGTGTGCAAAGTGCGAGGACCCCACAAACCGGATTCCCTTGCAGCCCTCTCCTTTGGTGCCTCAAAAGAGCAAAGGAACCAAGGCCAAGAGTTAAGAAACCGGCCAAGCCGCTTCCTGTGTCTAAGAGCCTCTGTTTCCTGTTCCTCTTGTAAGGCTCAGTGCAGCCAGCCTCGTTCCTCCAAGGTGTTATTTCCGTGTCCTTCTCGAGCTGCCTGACACAATGAGAGGACCTGGCCGACGGCCTGAGAAGGAGACGGGTGGGGAGGGCGATCTTCCTAAAAGTGGTTGGAGTGAAGATGTGAAATGCTAAGGCTTGGAGCAAGGGTCCTCAGACTTTTTAAACAGAGCTCACAGTCCCTCAAACTGTTGGAGGGCCGGATTATAATTTGAAGAAAACATGAATGGATTCCTATGTACACTGCACACATCTTATTTGCAGTGCAATAAACCACTTAAAAACAATACAATAATTAAAATGAAGAACAATTTCCACAAATATAAACTGATTAGTATTTCAATGGGAAGTGTGGGCCTGCTTTTGGCTGATGAGATAGGGTTGTTGTTGTTGTGTGCTTTCAAGTCATTTCAGACTTAGATTGACCCTGATCGAGGGCCGGGTAAATGACCTTGGAGGGCCGTATCCAGCCCCCAGGCCTTAGTTTGAGGACCCCTGGCTTAGAGCCTGGCAAATGTCCTCTCGCCGTACCGTGCCAGTAGAGGCAGTCTTCGGCAGGAGGGAAGGGTCTTGGGCACGGCAGCTGAGAAGAAAGGGCGGGATTGGGGAAGCAGACCTTCCTCAATTGACGTAATTTCTCTGTCTTCTCTTGTCAGCGCTCACATTCTTGGGAAAAGTGGAATTGCTGCGTAGTCTCTCACTGGGATTCCAGCAGAAGCCTTTTTTAATGTGTTGTCAAAGGCTTTCATGCCCGGAATCGCTGCGTTGCTGTGAGTTTTCCGGGCTGTCTGGCCATGTTCCAGACGCATTCTCTCCTGACGTTTTGCCCACCTCTATGGCAGGCATCCCCAGAGCTTGAGAGGTCCTTTGGAAACTAGGCAAATGGGGATTAAATATCTCTGGAATAATAATCTATATAAATAAAAAGGTAATGTTCGTTTGTGGTATTCACAGAACTCACAAACCACTGGGGGAATTGATACCAAATATGGACACAATACACCTAACAACCCAATGTATGTCCTTCACTCATAAAAACACTGAAAAACCCAGCAAAAGGGACTTAAAATGCCCCAAAAAGCTAAATGACAATACAGAAAAAGGAAAAAAGAGGGAAGAAGAAGAAAAAAAGAAAGAGAAAGAAAAGAAGAAAGAAAAAAGAAAGGAAAGAAAGAAATAAAGAAAGAAAGAAAGAAAGAAAGAAAGAAAGAAAGAAAAAAGAAGAAAGGAGAAGGAGAATGGAAAAGGAAGGAAGGAAGGAAGAAGGAGGAAGGAAGAAGGAGGAAGGAGGAAGAGAGGAAAAAGAAGAGAAAGGGGGAAGGAAGGAAAGTTAGAGAAGGAGGAGAGAAGGAAAGAAAAAAGGGAAAGAAGGAAGAGGAGAGCGAAGGAAGGGGGGAAGATGTAGAGAAAGAGGGAGGAAGAAAAGAGAGAAGGATAGAGACAGTAGAAGAGAAAGAAAAGGGGAAAAGGAAGGAAAGAGATAGAGAAGGAAGGAAGAAGAGAAGGAAAGAAGGAGGAAGGTAGGAGGAAGAGGAAGGAAAGGAAAGAGGGAGTGAAGGAAGGAGGGAAAGAAGGAGAGAAAGAGGGAAGGAAAGAAAAAGAGGAATAAGGAGAGATATGTATGGAAAGGTAATAATGTAATATAATACAATATAATACAATACAATATAATTATATACTTTATAATACATGTAATATTCCTAATAATATTACAGTATAGTAGTATAGTACAATATAGTAATATATAATACTAATATTGTGCTGTGCTAATAATATATTGTATACACATATAATATTGATAATATTATAATGTTATACAATATAATAATACAATATAATATTTTATACTTTATATTACATGTAATATAAAGCATAGTGTAAGAAATGAAATAATACTACTACTACTACTAATAATAATAATAATAATAATAATAATAATAATAATAAACTTTATTTATACCCCGCCACCATCTCCCCAATGGGGACTAGGGCGGCTTACATGAGGCCAAGCCCAACAGCATATTACAATAAAGTAAAACCAAAACACAATAACAACACAGTAAAATACATACAACATATGAGTACAAAGACGATAAAGCAAAATCATACACCGTAAAATAAAATAACATAACATAACAACGAGCGGGCCACATGTGCAAGATAAAAACTAAGATACTAAAAATCCTAAAATCAGGATGAGATGGGGATGGAGCAGATTGTTTCTTTATATTTTATTACACAGTAATAAAATATGAAGAAATAAGAATACAATACAAAACGCAATAAAAGTAACAACATCAGCAATATAAAATCACAACATTTAAACACAGTGGGCGAGGCCGGATTCAATAGATTAAAATTGAAACACTGGGTGGAAGAAAGAACTCTTGTCTGTTGGTGGCAGGTGTGACTGCTGCAATTGATCACCTTGATTAGCATCAAAAAGCCTTGCAGCTTCAAGGCTTTGCTGATACCTGCCTGGGGGACTCCCTTGTTGGGAAGTATTAGCTGGCCCTGGTTGATTCTTGTCTGGAATTCTCCTGCTTTTTGAGTGTTGCTCTTTATTTACTGCTTTGGTTTTGGAGTTTTTTAAGACTGGTAGCCATAGCAGAGCACCTGATGAACCAACCTGGACACAGCATATTATTTGAGAACACAGAAATGCTGGACCACTCTCGCAACCACCATGTCAGGCAACACAGAGAAGCCATTGAGATCCACAAGCATGTGGACAATTTCAACAGAAAGGAGGAAACCATGAAAATGAACACAATCTGGCTATCAGTGTTGAATGAAAAACTCTAAAATCAGGACAATAAGTAAAGAACAAAAGGGGAATTCCAGACATGAATGTTTTTATGTTGAATGTTTTAGGGAGCCCCTGGTGGCGCAGTGGGTTAAAGCACTGAGCTGCTGAGCTTGTTGATCGAAAGGTCGCAGGTTCGATTCCGGGGAGCGGCGTGAGCTTCCGCTGTCAGCCCTGGCTTCTGCCAACCTAGCAGTTCGAAAACATGCAAATGTGAGTAGATCAATAGGTACCGCTCCGGCGGGAAGGTAACGGCGCTCCATGCAGTCATGCCGGCCACATGACCTTGGAGGTGTCTACGGACAACGCTGGCTCTTCTGCTTAGAAATGGAGATGAGCACCACACCCCAGAGTCAGACATGACTGGACTTAATGTCAGGGGACTACCTTTACCTTAACGCCTCCCAACAAAGGATTGCCCCAGGCAGGAAGCAGCCAAACGGGAATTCCAGACAGGAAACAATTACGGCCAGCTAACATCTCCCAACAAAGAATTCCCCCAGGCAGGAAGCAGCCAGGCTTTGAAGCTGCAAGGCCATTCAGTGCTAATCAAGCTGGCCAATTGCAACATTCACACTTGCCTCAAGCAGACAAGAGTTCTTTCTTCCATAGATATGTAAACCTCACTTGCCTAGTTTCCAACAGACCTCACAACTTCTGGGGATGCCTGCCACAGATGTGGGTGAAACGCCAGGAGAAAATGCTTCTGGAACATGGCCAGGCAGCCCAGAAAACTCACAGCAACCCAGCTAGTAGTCTGTTAGGAATTGTGGAAGTTGAAGTCCAAAACACCTGGAGGGTCAACGCTTGCCCCCATGCCTGTGATATAAGCTGGCAGAAGCAGAAAAGATGTGTTTCACAGCATGTTGCGTATACATCCTTCACAGTCTTGTCTCCTGAGACTGCCGTGCAAGTCTTGAGTATTAATAAGGAGACGAGCTCTTTTTAACACCCGAGTGCAACTCCAGCCATTTCTGACCCTGAAGACCCTTCTCTTACTTAACTTCCAGGCTGAACCCGAAAAACATCCACCAGCGACCCACCGTGGCCTTGCTTTGTGGGCCCCACGTCAAAGGGGCCCAAGGGATCAGCTGCGGGCGGCACCTCTCCAATCACGACGTGGACATCATCCTTTTCCTCCCCAACTTTGTCAAGATGCTGGAATCCATCACCAACGAGCTCTCCCTCTTTGGCAATACCCACGGCCAGCAAGTCTCCAGCGTCAAAGGTAAGCTGCGCACCAATCGGAGACCTCACACAGGTTTTGGTCCTGGGCTAGAAACATCATTTCCTAATTGGTTCTGTCATAAAAACTCCAAAATAAGGTTTTATTAAACTGCAAAAACTTTGTTTGTGTGGGACATCCTGCAACACGTTTTGCTATAGTTTTCCAATGAGTATCTCATAGATCAGGGGTCCTCAAACTTTGTAAACAGAGGGCCAGGTCACAGTCCCTCAAACTGTTGGAGGGCCGGATTATAATCTGAAAAAAACATGAATGAATTCCTATGCACACTGCACATATCTTATTTGTAGTGCAAAAAACACTTTAATAATAATAATAATAATACTTTATTTATACCCCGCTACTCGGTGCGGCTTGCATGAGGCCAAGCCCACAATACATCAATAATAAAAACAATAACGACAAGTAATACAAAACAATAAAAATAAAACTCATAACAGAAAATAAGCAATAAACATTGACAATAACACAACGATGTTTAAAAACTTATGGTTGGGCCAAATGTAATAATTAAAATTTAAAAATAATGCTGAGCATGAACAGGTGAAATATGACTAGGATAAAACAATATAATCATTAAAATGAAGAACAATTTTTTTAACAAATATAAACGTATTAGTATTTCAATGGGAAGTGTGGGCCTGCTTTTGGATGATGAGATAGGATTGTTGTTGTTGTGTGCTTTCAAGTCATTTCAAACTTAGGTTGACCCTGAGCAAGGGCTGGGTAAATGACCTTCGAGGGCCGTATCCGGCCTCGGGCCTTAGTTTGAGGATCCCTGTCATAGAGCCTCAACCAATTCAACTTTGTTTACGACAACCACAAAAAACAAAGTTTCTGGAGTAGAACAACTACTTTCAACATGAAATGACACTTTCACATGAGGAACAGAGTATTTTTCAGATTGTGTCACGAGGTCCTCCCCCACAAATGTACCTTTTACTTGCTGTCTCATCCATAGTTTTATCATTTTATGTCGTGCATTTGGCCCGCCCACTGTGTTTTATTTTTTATTATGTTTTTTTGTACAGTTTATTTTACTTGATTGGTTTGTTTATTATTTATTTATTTATTTATTTCCTGCATTTATTAACCGCCACTCTCAGCCCTAGGGCGACTCGTGGCGGTGTACAGCACGTAAAAAACAATTTACAATAAGCCAAGACACCAAAACTAACATATCACAATACATAACATCTAGTTACACTAAAAATCCGCTTCGTCTTATCGTGGAATCATAATCAATCTCGTAGTCGTAATCCATTCCAGTTGTCATTTCCAGTGACATAGAACTCAATTGAATGCCAACTTGAAAAGCCATGTTTTCAGGCCCTTACGAAAGGCCATAAGGGAGGGCGCCTGCCTGATGTCAACAGGGAGGGAGTTCCACAGCCGGGGGGCCACCACCGAGAAGGCCCTCTCTCTCGTCCCCGCCAGACGTGCCTGTGAGGCAGGCGGGATCGAGAGAAGGGCCTCCCCAGATGATCTCAAGGTCCTCGTGGGCTCATAGGCCGAGATGCGGTCTGCAAGGTACTTTGGGCCGGAACCGTTTAGGGCTTTGTAGGATAGCACCAACACCTTAAATTGGGCCCGGTAGCAAATCGGCAGCCAGTGGAGCTGGGACAACAAGGGCGTTGTATGCTCCCTGCGTCCTGCTCCTGTTAGCAACATGGCTGCCGCGCGCTGGACTAGCTGAAGCTTCCGGGCCGTCTTCAAGGGTAGCCCCACGCTATAACATATAGAGTATAGATCTATATAATCTATAACACTATTATTATTATTATTATTATTATTATTATTATTATTATTATTATTATTATAGTGTTGTGATAGCCTCATTTGTCTCAGTGCATATCCTGGCTTCAACTCTTTGCAACTCTTGAGGGCCAGGCGTTGGAGTGAGGAGAAACATAGGTAAAGATTAAGTCCAGTTGACTCTGGGACTCGGGTGCTCATCTCCATTTCTAAGTGGAAGAGCCGGCATTGTCCACAGACACCTCCAAAGTCATGTGGCCACTGGCATGAATGCATGGAGCGCTGTTACCTTCCCGCCGGTACTTATTGATCTATTCACATTTGCATGTTTTTGAACTGCTAAGTTGGCAGAAGCTGGGGCTCATGCTGCTCCCCGGATTCGAATCTGCAACCTTTTGGTCAGCAAGTTCAGCAGCTCAGCGGTTTAACCCACTGCACTACCGGGGACTCCTTGAGGATAAACTTAGGGAATGAATAAAAGATTTTCAGTGGATTTGAGGTGGAATCATGATGGAGCTGCGATGGCACAATGAGTTAAACCCTTGCCCGGCTGAACTTTGGTGGTTCAAATCCAAGAGATGGGGTGAGCTCCAGTCTGTCAGCTCCAGCTTCTCGTGTGGGGACACGAGAGAAGCCTCCCACAGGATGGTAAAACATCCGGGCAATGTCCCCTGGGCAACGTCCTTGCAGACAGCCAATTCTCTCACACCAGAAGCGACTTGCAGTTTCTGAAGCCTTTTCTGACATGGAGAAAAACAAAGTGGATTTGGAGAAAGCTTGACTTCCTTTGATTCAGCCATAAACCCCTAATCTTGCAGCACCACCTAGCGGCAGGAAGGGGAAATATTTTGATATTTCTGACTTGTCAGCTAAGTTGAAGCCATCGCCAGATCAAATCTCGTGTCTGTTAAGCAGCGAAGGGAACAGAAAGCGGAGCTCTTTTAAGAAAGTATTTCGTAGCTTTTGTAGCATGACTCCGCTCCTGTCATTCTTGAAGCTCCTCCGCTCTACTGCTGTGCTCAAGGAGCTTCTGATCTGCTGAAATGCTGCTGCTTTGCATTTTTAATTTTTGAAATTACCCAACACCTACGTGTTTTTAATTTGTGGTTTTAATTTGTCACCACCTCTGAGGATGCCTTTAGCCATAGATGCAGGGGAAACTTCAGGAGAGAATGCTTCTAGAACATGGCCATACAGCCCGAAAGACCCACAACAACCCAGTGATTCCAGCCATGGAAGCCTTCGACAATGATTTTAACGCTGAATGCAATTTTAAATGTTTACGATGCATTCATTATAATTCAATTGAATTTAAGTTTAATGCTTGTATGTGTTTAAGGCATGGAATAATTGCCATATGTAAGCCGGTGGCGCAGTGGGTTAAACTGCTGAGCTGTTGAACTTGCTGACCAAGAGGTCGCCAGTTTGAATGTGGAACTCGCTCCCCGGGGAAATTAAGTCATCTTCATCCCTCCTCACCTTGAGAAAAAAGTTAAAAACGTGGATGTGGGACCAGGCCTTCGGGCGAGTAAGCGGACAACGACAGTAACCGTGCTGGCAATGGCTTGGAAATGGATTCTGGATAAGTTGGTGGAGCATCCAACCACAGTTTTTTGGCTAAAAATGGCCACCAGAGTGATAATTCTTAGTAGATTTTAATTGTATTGTTTTAATGTCTTTAACTATTTATAATTATTGACTGTCGTTTTTACTATGTATATATTTATTATTTATTACTTATTTACCTTACTTCTATACCGCTGTTCTCAGCCCGAAGGCGACTCACAGTGGTTCACAACAAATAAGAACAGCAAAAATTCAATGCAACAGTATAAAAACAGTTGACAACCTAACACATTACACAATTAATAAACAATTACTACAATAGCCATTCATTATCGTCTCATCATCAAAAACATGATCCAGATTCGCCATCCATTGTTCCATTCCAGTGTTCATTAACCAATCATTGCACTAATTATTCGAACGCCTGCTCAAACAGCCAGGTCTTCACTTTTTTGCGGAATACCATTAGAGATGGTGCTAGTCTAATGTCCGTAGGAAGGGCGTTCCACAGCCGAGGAGCCACCACCGAGAAGGCCCTATCTCTCGTCCCCGCCAGCCGTGCTTGAGAAGCAGGCGGGATCGAGAGCAGAGCCTCCCCGGAAGATCTCAAAGTCCTGGTGGGTTCATAGGCAGAGATGCGGTCGGATAGGTAGCTTGGGCCGGAACTGTTTAGGGCTTTAAAGGCCAATGCCAGCACTTTGAATTGAGCCCGGTAGCAGATCGGTATATATTGAGGCATCGAATGGAAGCCACCCTGAGCTCCCCTCTCCCCCAGGGGGGCGTTGAGAAAGGCAGGGTAAAAATATTCAAAATAAATAAATAAATCAAGCGCGCACGGCGAGCTCCCACTGTTAGCCCCAGTTTCTGCCAACCTAGCTGTTCAAAAACATGCAAATGTGAGTAGATGAATAGGGAAGGTAACGGCGCTCCATGCAGTCCTGCCGGTAGCCACATGACCTTGGAGGTGTCGACGGACAACGCCGGCTCTTTGTCTTAGACATGGAGATGAGCACCAGCGTCCCAGAGTCGGACGCGACTGGACTTAATGCCTTTACCTTTACCTAAGCCGCCTTGCGTCTCCCTTGGGGTAGGGAAAAGCGGGGCATAAACAGGGCAAGTAAGTAAATGACTTCTCACTCCAGCCAAAGTGGACTTCCTGCTAAGCGAGGCCACCTCTTTCATTTCTCCAGACCTGCCAGACACGCCGGTGGACCTGGTGATCAACTGCCTGGATTGCCACGAAAATGCCTACCTGCGGGACCAGCCGTGGTACAAGGCGGCGGTGGACTGGGCCAACCGGAACCGGGCGCCTGTTCTGAGCCTGGACCCGCCGGTGAGCGAGGCGGAGCAGGGCATCGAGGCCAAGTGGTCACTGTCCTTGGGGCTGCCGCTGGGCCTGGGCGAGAGGGCCGGGCGGCTGTACCTCTGCGACATCGGCATCCCCCAGAAGGTCTTCCAGGAGGTGGGCATCAACTACCACTCGCCCTTCGGCTGCAAATTTGTCATCCCTCTGCACTCGACCTAAAGGGGGGCCAGGCAGGGCCTTCGGCCTCTGGACCCCAACGGATCGCCTGGCAGATTAAACTCTTGTCTCGACGCCTTAAGGATGCCAATGCTCTCAGTTTCTTCCCGGAGAAACGTCAGTGGCATCAAAGAGAAGCGAGAAGCCCGGCCTTGGGGGCTCTTGTGCCATTCATCGCATGGAGAGAGGGGCATTGGCCGGCCAAGGCCTTCAGTCGGCTCGGATAGTTGGTGGTGGGAGAGAGGAGGGAGGGTGGGGAGAGGCTTTTGCAGGCACACACACACACGTATACCAGGCAACGCGAATCCTTTTCCGTTTTGTTTCTGTTTTCTTTTTGTTTTGGACTTTTATGATCTTCCAGGACTTGGAGGAGAAGAAAGCGGTCTCTGAGGACCCTCTTTTCCTTGATGACCGTATGGGAATGGTGGTCGTTTGGCCCATTTCCCCTCTTGCGCAGCTACAGCCCATCCATAGTTCTTCCTCCCAACTTTTTGGGATCTTGGGCAGCCTTATGTTGGAAAGGGGTGTGCCAAAGGCACCTGTTTCTCCGCATTCCTGAAGCTGCGCCGATCCTTTTGACCCAGGGCTAGCTCAGGTTTGCTTCCTTTTTGCTCGGAGGAGTGAATAGTAGCATCTAATCAAAAGGGGTTTGAGGAAGGAAGTGAAGAGGCAGCTTCCGTTCCGATAGAAGTCGATTCCTGCCGGCTTGCAGTATTGAGACCCCATGGCTGATACAAAATGCCTAGTTCGTGGGCCATTGTTTGAATGCAAAAGTTGGAAAGCCTATTGCAGCACCAAAGACACATGGGGAAATGCATATTGTGAGGCACAGAGTTGCCTCTTTGGTACCGTTTGCAACAATGACGTGGCTTAATGTGAGCAGCACCAAAGACGCTGCCAGGAGGAAGCTTAGGGATGCCAAGGGCGGAGTATGCAACGGCCCTGCTGTGTAGGCCGCAGGCAGAGCAAGTTCTGTTTTCTGCATGTGCCGATGCGCAGAGGCTTCCTCCTCTCGTGCTCCAGGCATCTTATCTGTAGCCATGGCCTCCCTCCGTCTGTGTCCCTTGAGCCCCTCGCCCTCAGTGGCTTCCGCCTTGTTGCTGCCAGCAGCGTTGTTTCCTCTCTTTTGGGTTCTTTTCCTTTTTCTAGTTAGGCTCAGTGTCCAGGCTGCCAGGGGTGCAATGCGTTCTTGAAGCAGCACACGCTTGAAAGGCTGCTTGCTCTGGGGAACCGGCCGCGTTTAACCTTCCGTGTCTCTCTCGAAAGGTGCCATGCAAAACTCTTTCCACTCGTCACAATCATTAAACAGTGCAGAAAAGCAGTCTAGCTCCGCAGGTGTTTTCCTTTCCGGGGAATTTGGAGGGATCCAAGCTTGGAAGGAATGGAACCAGTGATTCGGATGCAGCAATACAGGGGGAACCCAGGCACATGTCTAAACAGGTATGGGAAACCCAGGCCCGGGGGCCAGATGTGGCCCCTTGGGCTCTTTTCTCAGGCCCTCCTCTCTCTCACCATCCTATCTTTCCTGCGTCCTTCCCTCCCTCTTTCTCATTCCCTTCCACCCTTTTGCCCTTCCTTCTCTTTTCCTCCTCCTTCCTTCACTCCCTTTCTCCCTCCCTCGCTTCCCTTTTACACCTTTGTCCTTCCCTCTCTCCGTTTCCTTCCCTTTTCTTTCCTTCCTTATCCCTTTCCTCCTTCCATTCCCTTCCAACCTTTTGTCCTTCCATCCTTCCCTCCATTTTCTTTCCCTCCTTCTCTCCTTCCTTTCCTCTTTCCCTCATCCTTCCCTTCCTTCCACCCCTTCTTCCCTTTCCCCTTTTTCCTTCCCTCTTCCTCCTTCCTGCCTTCCCTTCCTTGTGTCCTTCCTTCCCTTTCCTGCCTCCTTCCCTCCCTCATTCCCTTCCACCCTTTTCATCCTTCCCTTTCCTTCCTCCTTCTTTTACTCCCTTTCTCCCTCGCTCCTTGCTTCCCTTTCACACTTTTGTCCTTCCGTTTCTGCTTCCTTTCTTCCTTCCCTTTTGTCTTTCCTTCCTTCTCTTTCCTCCCTCCATTCCCTTCCACCCTTTTGTCCTCCCCTCCATTTTCTTTCCGTCCTTCTCTCCTTCCTTCCCTTTCTCCTTCAATCCTTCCCTTCCACCGTTGTCTTTCTTTCCTTCCCTTTATCCTTCCTTCTCTCTCCCTTATCCTTCCTTACCTTCCATCCTTCTCTTCTTCCCTTTCACTCCTTCCTTTCCTCCCTTCCTTCTTCCATCACCAGGCAGCCAGTCCTCCTCGCAGGGAGTGCTAGCGTGCGGCCCCCAAGTTAGAAAGTTTGCCCACATCTGGTTTAAAACCATGCAACAATGAAGAGCAAAATTACCATATATACTCGAATATAAGCCAAGGTTTTCAGCCCCCCTTTTAGACTGAAAAAGCCCCCCTGAGCTTATACTGGAGTCAGAGTTATCTATCATTTTACTCTATAATTATTATTTTTATTACATTTATTATTTTACTTACTGTTATTATTGCAGTCTTATCTTAAATTAGTTTTATGTAAATCTTCAAAAACACTTAACCTCCAGGGATGCCTCAATTAATGTAATTTTATTGGTATCGATTTCCATTTTGGAATTTACCAATCTCTGCTGCATTTCCCACCCTCGGCTTATACTCGAGTCCATCCTGTACTTTATTGCTTCCGATGAACAAGGTGTTACTTGGTGTAACAAGTTCAAAAGTTACTTTTAACAAGATGGTTTCGTGTATTGTGCCATTCTCATACCAATCATACATTTTGCTTCTTCAGAAAATGGCAACAGATGACAGGGAAATTAACAAATAGGGCAGGAGGTAACATGAATAAATAGGGCAACGGGTTAACATGGATGAAGTACTTTTTTCCATCACGCAAGGCAAGAAACCATTGGAAACTCACTGTTTTATTGTTAAATGGGGAGGGAGGGGGGAACGGGTTGGGGGGGGAGCAAAAAGAGTTGGACGCAGTCGTACAAGTCAGTTATCAAACAATATGAAACACTTTATTTCAACTTTACAACATATAAATATATGGGGCCAATCTGTGCTTTAGAGTTGCTCTTCTTCCCTGCCCCCCCTCCCAAGCCCAGAGTCCGGCCTGAGGACGAGGTTGCATCCTAGCTGTGGGGGGTGCCCACAGTCGCAGCCAGGCCGGTTTCAGAGTATGTACACCTCCTGCGGGGATCCCTTCCTCCTCCTCCTGGGCCAAGGCGCCTGTCATCTGCTCAGGTCCCGGCTGGAGTCTCGGCAGCTCAGCCGCCTTTCCTCGGGAGACAGGCCGGCAAAGAACGGGTGCTGCAGCGCTTCGGCAAACGTGATCCTCTGGGCCGGGTCGAACGCCAGCATTTGCCGCATGAGGTGGAAGAGCTGCATGTGCTCCGTGGACTCCTGCAGCATGTACGTCTGTGGAGGGAGGGGGGGGGCAAAGGGGTCATTAGCACTGCCCTCAGACGTTCTGGACCTCATGACATTTGAAAGTCTCTTTCCCACAATTCTCATCAAAGAGGAAAAACACAAATAAATTGCTGGTTTTTAAAAACTCTGGATCAGGCATGGGCGCAAACCCTCCAGATAATTTATGTTGCTTATGTTTTTGGTTTTATTTTGCTGTAATATGTTCTTTGGGCTCATGTAAGCCGCCCTGAGTCCCCATTGGGGGAGATGGTGGCGGGGTATAAAGAAAGATTATTATTATTATTATTATTATTATTATTATTATTGTATATTTGGTTTATTGTAATTGTTGGGCTTGGCCTCATGTAAGCCACCATTAGTCCCCATTGGCGAGATGGTAGTGGGTTATAAATATTATTATTATTATTATTATTATTATTAAACTTGATTTGTACCCTGCTAGCATCTCCCGAAGGACTCGATGCGGCTTACAAAGGCCGAGGCCTCAACATAACAACATAAAACAATACAATTCAAAGCAAATCAAAAAAATAAAGCAATATCAACAAAACATTACAGCATAAACACAGTAAAACCAAGGCCAGATTATTATTATTATTATTATTATTATTTAGACTTCAACTCCAACAATTCCTAATAGCCAGTAGCTTCCAACAATAGCAGGCTCATAATAATAATAATAATAATCTGGGCCCCCAGTGGCGCAGTGGGTTAAACCGCTAAACTGCTGAACTTGCTGACCAAAAGGTCGCCGGTGCAAATCCAGGTAGCAGGGTGAGCTCCTGCTGACAGCCCCAGCTTTTGCCAACCTAGCAGTTCAAAAATATGCAAATGTGAGTAGATCAATAGGTACTGCTCCGGTGCAGTCATGCCATCCATATGACCTCGGAGGTGTCTATGGATAACGCCGGCTCTTCGGCTTAGAAATGGAGATGAGCACCAACTCCCAGAGTCGGACACGACTGGACTTAAGGTCGGGGGAAAACCTTTGCCTTTACTAGTAGGCTGTTGGGAATTGTAGGAGTGGAAGTCCAAAATCCCATAGGATGCGAACGACTCTGGTTCTTACCTGCAGTGGTTTACAGTTTTCTTGGACGTATCTCCCGTCAGAGGTGTTTTCGTCCCACACCAGGCTCCCCTTGTGAAAATACTTCTGTTTCCTGAAGAAGACACACACAAAGAGACTGCTCAGCAAGAGGCCAGCTGCATTTACACATTTGATCATTCATAGCTTGAAAATAAAGCCCCCGGCGGCACAATGGGTTAAACTCTTGTGCTTAGCAGGACTGGTTGACCGACAGGTTGGCAGTTCGAATCCGGGGAGTGAGGTGAGCTTCCTTCTGTCAACTCCAGCTCCTCATGCGGGGACACAAGAGAAGCCTCCCACAAGGATGGTAAAAACATCAAAACATCCGGGCAATGTCCCCTGGGCAACGTCCTTGCAGACGGCCAATTCTCTCACGCCAGAAGCGACTTGCAGATTCTCAAGTCACTCCTGACATGACAAAAAAAAAGTAGCCAGAAGTGATGAAAACAACAACGACACACAGACCAATGTGATCTCTTCCTTAGGAGGCTTTTCTTTGTAGTAAAATAATATGGTTGCGCTATTTACAAGAACAAATAAAGTTCTTTATACTTCCTTCTTTGCTTTCACACTGGGCTTCTTTCTCATGTAGACAAACAGCTTCGCTCTCAAGGAGCCTCTTCTCACAACAAACTTACACAGATGTTTCACACACTAGCTTGTTACACACAGCAGCCTTCACACTGAAGCTTCATACACAGTGGCCTTCAAACTGGGACTTCTCCCACACAGGGGCGTTCTCTCACAATGAGGCCTACCTCACACTGAGAGCTCTCTCACACTGAGGTGAACTAACACTGAGGCCTACTAAGCTTCAGGCAGACCTGCTTATATAGAACAGCAGCTTTTGCTGAGTCATTGCATCCATTTAAATTAAAAATACCTAGTTAACTTGCCCACTCATCTTGGCATCCTTTCAAATATTTAAACAAAGCTCTCATGCCTCCTCTCAGTCTTCTCTTCTGTAGGCTAAATATATCAAGCTCCTGAAGTCGCTCCTCAAAGGGCAGGAAGGTATCTGGAATGACTATAAAGCTAACAAGAATTCTCCTCGGCCCGAACACTTTACCCGAAGTGTGTGCAACTCAGCCGAGATTATCCTAGTATTATCATATTGTATTGTCGAAGGCTTTCATGCCTGGAATCACTGGGTTGCTGTAGGTTTTTTTGGGCTAAATGGCCATGTTCTAGAGCAGGGGTCCTCAAACCTTTTAAACAGAGGGCCACGTCACAGTCCCTCAAACTGTTGGAGGGCCGGATTACAATTTGAAAAAACATGAAGTATTACGCACACTGCACATTTCTTATTTGTAGTGCAAAAAAAACCACTTTAAAACAATACAATAATTAAAATGAAGAACAATTTCAACAAATATAAACTTATTAATATTTCAATGGGAAGTGTGGGCCTGCTTTTGGCTGGTGAGATAGGATTGTTGTTGTTGAGTGCTTTCAAGTAGTTTCAGACTTAGGTTGACCCTGAGCGAGGGCCAGGTAAATGACCTTGGAGGGCTGTATCCGGCCCCCGGGCCATAGTTTGAGGACCCCTGCTCTAGAGCATGGCCATATAGTTATTTATTTATTTCAAACTTTTGTATCCCGATCTTCTCGACCTCCGTAGAGGGACTCAGACCGGCTCACACAAGGATTGAATGCTAACAATAAAATCTAAAACATCGCACATGAACAATAAAATTAAAATGCATATAGACTAAAATACATAAAAGCCAGTTCGTCAAGATAAAATCGTGTCCCACTCAGTCCGCATATGTGGTCGATAACTTTAGCCAATTGCCAGTCTCCACCATCATTCTGGGAATGCCTCATTCCATAGCCAGGATTTCATTAGCTTCCTGAAGGTCAGGAGGGAGGGGGCAGATCTGATCACAATCGGGAGAGAGTTCCATAGCCATGGGAGCCACCACAGAGAAGGCCCTGTCTCTCGTCCCCACCAGACGCGATTGAGAGGGTGGTGGGACAGGAAGCAGGGCTTCTCCAGAAGATCTTAACAGCCTTAATGGTTCGTAGGGGAGAATACGTTCGGATAGGTAAACTGGGCCGGAACCGTATAGGCCAGGGGTCCTCAAACGTTTTAAACAGAGGGCCAGATCACAGTCCCTCAAACTATTGGAGGGCCGGATTATAATTTGAAAAAAAACGTGAATGAATTCCTGTGCACACTGCGCATATCTTATTTATAGTGCAAAAACCACTTAAAACAATAATTTTTCAATTAAAATGAAAAACAAAATTAACAAATATAAACCTATTAGTATTTCAGTGGGAAGTGTGGGCCCACTTTTGGCCGATGAGATAGGATTGTTGTTGTTGTGTGCTTTCACGTCATTTCAGACATAGGTTGACCCTGAGTGAGGGCCGGGTAAATGATGTATCCGGCCTCCGGGCCTTAGTTTGAGGACCCCTGGTATAGGGTTTTGTAGGTTAAAACCAGCACTACCTACAACAACCCAGTCTTATCTCATTCTTACCGTGTTTTGCGGACCATATGCTGAGGGATCGAGCCAAGGATCTTCTCCATCATCACAAGGTGCTCTCTATTTTCGTGAGTCTGTTGAGTGAGACAAAAGGGATTATGTATCTACTCACGGCAAAACTACGCTTAATATTCACCATTTCCAAAGGAGTGAAAAGCTTGGGGTATTCAAGGTATGAATACACTACAAATGCCACCACCCCACAAGTGGGGATGCTACCTAGGGATGATGGACACATCTGGGGGCCGGTTTTTCTTACAAGGACCGAAAAGTCCAACAGCGCATCAAAGACATCACTAGAGCCATCTTTCACTCATAACGCCAGCAATAAAGTAACATACCAATGTTTTATTATTGAGTAACAGTTTTAAAAGAAGCTAAAAAGTGCTCATTCAAGAACAGTAATAGCATGGAGTGCCTCCAGAAGGACTGCAATGCCTATACCTGGAAAAGTGTGAACCCTCGGTAGTATTCAAAGAGGATGCAACCAATGCTCCAGACATCACACGGCTGAGCCCAGCCCAGCTCTGTAAAGGAAGAGGAAGGAGACATGTGGTCACGTTGTTAACTCGCTTGAGCCTGCATCATCCAGGCCTGGGCCAACTTGGGCCCTCCTTCCAGGAGTTTGGGACTCCAACTCCCACCATTCCTAACAGCCTCAGGCCCCTTAAGCGGCTGAGGGTGAAAGGGGCCTGAGGCTGTTAGGAATGGTGGGAGTTGGAGTCCCAAACTCCTGGAAGGAGGGCCCAAGTTGGCCCAGTCCTTGTGCAAACCAAGTGGTGCTAGTGAACTTTACTTCAACCCACTCCCCCCAAGTGAGTCAAAACGTCGGCTCACCCAAGATCACCTCCGGCGGCCGGTAATGCCGAGTGGCCACAATGGTGGTGTGATGCTCGTGGTCGAAAGTGGCGCTGCCAAAGTCTGCCACCCGGATCCACGTGTTCCGGATGGACTTCTCCTCACAGCTCTGCAACAGAGAAGACATGTCCCAGCCCCGCTCAGTCGCCTGCCCAAAAAGTGAGGACAGAAAGGTCAAAAACACAATGAGCACAAACAGCCATCTTTGCCTCCACAAGAATAAGGCTTCCCAGCTTTCCTGCCTCTCCTTTTCAGGCAGGAAAAGGAATGGGCGCTCAAAAGTACATGTGGTGAAAAGCATCCAGGGCAGGTATGGACAAGCCCAGGTCTGGATGTGGCCCCTTGGGCTCTTTTCTCAGGCCCTTTTCTCTCTCTCTCTCTCTCTTACGATCCTATCCTTCCTTCCTCCCTGCCTTACCTCCCATTTTCCCTTCCACCCTTTCATTCTTCCTTCCCCCTTTCCTTCCTCCTTCCCCCTCTTTCGCCTTCCTTCCTTTCCTTTTGTCATTGCCTCCTCTCTTTCCTCCCTCCCTCCCATCCTTCTGTTCATCCCTTTTTCCTCCCTCCTTCTCTCCATTTCCTTCCACCCTTCTCCCCTTCCTTCCTTTTCTTTCTCTTCTCTTTCCTCCTCTCTCCTTTCCTTCCACCCTTCCTTCCATCCATCCGTCCTTCATCCCCTTCCTTCTTTCTTCCCTTCCACCATTCCTTCCATCCTTTTCTTCATCCCTTCCTTCCCATTTAGCTTTCCACCCTTCTCTCTTTCCTCCCTCCCTCCATTTCCTTCCACCCTTCCTTCCTTCCATCCTTGTCTTCATCTCTTCCTCCCTCCTTCCCTTCCACCCTTCCTTCCATCTTTCTCTTCCTTCCTTCCCCTTTATCTTTCCTTCCTTCCATCCATCCGTCACTTCATCCCTTCCCTCTTCCTTCCCTTCCATCCATCCTTTTCTTCATCCCTTCCTTCCCTTTTACCTTTCCACCCTTCTCTTTCCTCCCTCCCTCCATTTCCTTCCCCTTCCTTCCTTTCTTCTCCTCCTTCCTCCTTCCCCTTCCACCCTTCCTTCCATCCTTTCCTTCCTTCCCTTTTTCTTCCTCCTTCTTTTCCCCTCTCTCCATTTCCTTCCACCCTTCCTCCCTTCCCCTTCTTTCTCCCTCTCTCCATTTCCTTCCTTCCTTCCTCTCTCTCTTCATCCCTTCCTTCCCTCTTCCCTTCCCCCTTCCTTCCACCCTTTTCTTCATCCCTTCCTTCCTTTTCTTTCACCTCTTTCCTCTCCTCCTTCCCTTCCCCCTTCCTTCTCCCTTTTCCCTTCCTTCCCTTTTATCTTCTTCCTTCCCTCTTTCTCCCTCCCTCCTCCATTCCCTTCCAGCCTTCTATTTCTTCCTTCTCTTTTTCCTTCATCCCTTCCTCCTAGGGGATGCTTAGTTGGAAGAAGAGAAAGTAGGGAACATGAGAGCCATGTTTCAAGATCAGGTGTCCCACTGAGAAGGAGGAGGAGGATGTGGGGGTAAACTGACTTTCTGTTGCTCTAGAGAGAAGGGCACAAGAAAGGAGCCATGGACTCAAATGGCAGGGAAAGGGATTTGACTGAAAAGATGAGGAAGGACTTCCTGGAGAGTGGCCAAGGCTGCCTGGGAGTGTAGTGGAGCCTCCTTCTCTGGAGGCTTTCCCCCAGAGGCTGTCCATTGGGAGTGCTTTGATTGTGCCTTCCTGCATGGCAGGGGGTGGGACTGGATGGCCATTGGGGGTCTCTTCCAACTCTAGGATTCTATCTCAGGAGGAGGCAACACGGGGTCTCATGGAGACACTTTACTCTCCTGTCCACCATCTCATCCTGACTCAGGCCAACCCTTTTGGGATCCAAATGTTTCCCATTTTTCCTTCACTTTCTGCCTCCAAAGAAGAAGAAGAGAAGGAAAGGGAAGGGAGGAGCCTTGGGGAGAACCCCCCCCCCCCCCCAGCCCGCTCTGGCCACCATGCAGCCCCCAAGTGAGAACATTTCCCCATGCCTGATCTAGAGGCCCAAGTAGACCTCAAGGTGAACATGAGCCAATAATGTCATGCAGCAGCTAAAAAAGCCAACACGATTCCAGGCTGCACCAATAGGAACAGAATGTCTCCATTAAGGGAATTCGTAGTCGCACTCTCCTCTGCTTTGGTCAGACCTCATCTGGACTAACCCTGTGTCCAGTTATGGGCAAAGCAATTCAAAGAGACTGACCAGATGGGAGATGCCCAGAGATGGGCAGCCAAATACCAGCAGTCAAAGACCCTACAAGAAATGGTTGAGGGAGCTGGGTGTGTTTAGCTTGGAGAAAAGAAGGCTGAGAGAGAGAAGACCTCAAAGAGGCCACGTTTCTGAAGCTCGGTGCTATCCCTACAACCCTTCCCACACTTTTCCCACTCTGGGAAGAGTCTTACCTTTTTCTCATTGTATAAGGTATCGAATTCTGAGTTTACAAACAGGATGTTTTCGGGCTTGAGGTCAGTGTGCGTTAGCTGGTTGTCATGAAGAACTGCAGTGAAGCACAAAGGGGAGAGAAGAGCATTGCAATGGCGGTCAACAACGGGGGGGGCGGCTTTCCTTCCAGGCCGGCCGACTTACACTTCAAGGCGTGGCAGAGCTGGAAGGCCATGTGCCGGATCTGGGCCAGCGGGTAGGGCTGGAAGTTGTTCTCTTTCAGGAACTCAAAGGTGTTCTTGCCCAGGAGCTCAAACGCGATGCACATGTGCCCGTGGAAGTTGAACCAGTCCGACATCAGGACGCACAGGCTAGGCCCAAGGAGGGAAAAGAAACACACTAGGGCTCCCAAAGAAGCGGCAACACCCATCTCTCTGACCTTTGTGGGTGGGGTCAGTCACGGATTTAACCAAAACGGTTCTCTCAAGGAACATCCAAGTCCCTCATCAGTTTCCCTATATTCAGCTTCCACAGGAAGTCATGTTTCCCCCACTTTTGCGGAAGAGCTGATCGTAATGGCTACACCTCAATTTGGACTTGTGGGAGTCGGAAGTCCAAAACACCTGGAGGGCCCAAGTTTGCCTGTTCTAAAAGTACATTCTTGTGCATTAGCCACCTCTCTTTTTGGCTCGAGGCTGGGCACACCAACATCAATTACATAAATGAATCTCTAAAATCACATATTAAACACAGTTAAAACACAAGAGTTGCGTGCTCTCTCAAGTTCAGCCTGTGCATAAGAATGCTGACGCTTAAATTTCTAAAAATCTAATGGATTGACAGTTCTGTCTTGTTTTGGGGTCCATCCAGTCTGCTTATCCGCAATGCTTCCTTCCATAGCCAGGACTTCACCAGCCTCCTGAAGGACAGGAGGGAGGGGGCAGATCTGATCTCAATCAGGAGAGAGTTCCATAGCCGAGGGGCCACCACAGAAAAGGCCCCGTCTCTCGTTCCCGCCAGATGCGATTGTGGAAGTGGCAGGACTGAGAGCAGGGCCCCACCAGAATATTTTAATTGTCTTGGCGGTTCATAGGGGAGAATACATTCAGACAGGTAAACTGGGCTGGAATCGTATAGGGATTTATAGGTTAAAACCAGCACTCTGAATTGTGCTCGGAAGCTAATTGGCAGCCAGTGGAGCTGGCGCAACAAAGGAGTTGTGCGCTCCCTGTACCCCGCTCCCATTAGTAACCTGGCTGCCGAACGTTGGGCAAATTGCAGCTTCCGGACAGTCTTCAAAGGCAACCCTACATAGAGAGCGTTGCAGTAGTCAATACGGGATGTATCAAGAGGTGAGCTGAAGTCCTAGGGAGGAGGAGGGAGCAAGCTTCCTTTCTGCTGCCCTGGAGACCAGGACGCAATGGAGCCATGGCTTCAAACTACAAGAAAGGAGATTCCACCTGAACATGAGGAAGAACTTCCTGACTGTGAGAGTTGTTCAGCAGTGGAACTCTCTGCCCTGAAGGGAGTGTGGTGAAGGCTCCTTCTTTGGAGGCTTTGAAACAGAGGCTGGATGGCCATCTGTCGGGGGTGCTTTGAAGGCAATTTTCCTGCTTCTTGGGAGAATGGAGTTGGACTGGATGATGGCCCACCAGGTCTCTTCCAACTCTAGGATTCTAAGAACGTAAACTGGCACCAGAAAAACAGCCCAGGTCGAAGATGTCTGATGGAAATGACTTACTGTTTGTTTTCCTTATCCTTTTCTTTAATTTTCTTCAGGACATTAATTTCTAGCCTGGCTGCTTCGCGGTATTTGCCCACATTTCGAATAATTTTCAAAGCGACCAGAGAGTTGCCTCTGAAAAAAGGGCAAGACAAGAGAAGAGGGACTTTTAGACACGAGTAAGAGTCAAGGCAGAGGATTCTAAGAGTCACAACAAAGGCACTTCAAAGGTGAAAGGGCAGCCATTATAATTCTCCCAACTGTAGTTGACTGAACGAGGAGGAGGAAACTCCCTCCCTTTCCCCTCAGCCAATGCAAGCATCCATCACTATATCACAGAAACTTCTATTGCTGTTTCAGTGTCACAAAGCTAAGTATCCTTCATCCACAATACTTGAGGTAGAACTCTTTTGGGCTTCTGAAATTTTTATTTTTAAACTGACTGTGAGAGCTGTTCAGCAATGGAACTCTCTGCCCCGGAGGGAGTGTGGTTGAGGCTGCTTCTTTGGATGCATTTGAACAGAGGCTGGATGGCCATCTGTCAGGGGAGCTTTGAAGGTGATTTTCCTGCTTCTTGGCAGAATGGGGTTGGGCGGGACCAGGGGTCCTCAAACTAAGGCCCGGGGGCCAGATATGGCCCTCCAAGGTCGTTTACCCGGCCCTTGCTCAGGGTCAACCTAAGTCTGAAACAACTTGAAAGCACACAACAACAACAATCCTATCTCATCAGCCAAAACAGGCCCACACTTCCTATTGAAATACTAATAATTTTATATTTGTTAAAATTGTTCTTCATTTTAATTATTGTATGTTTTAAAGTGTTTTTTGCACTACAAATAAGATATGTGCAGTGTGCATAGGAAATCATTCATGTTTTTTTTTTCCAAATTATAATCCAGCCCTCCAACAGTTTGAGGGACTGTGACCTGGCCCTCTGTTTAAAACGTTTGAGGACCCCTGGGCTGGACAATGACCCACGAAGTCTCTCCCAACTCTAGAATTCTGTGCTTCTATGTGCACAGTGGCATAACAGGATCCAGGTTTACAAATTTCGTTTTTTGTATTTTATTTCCTGTTACGAATAGCAGTGTCTCATTTGTTTCATTTGTGCTTTCGTTTCATACCGTCCATTCGGATGGCACGAAACGAAGGACCCCCTTCCTGAACGAAAGAAGGGGTGAAATGAAAGAGAAAGCTGAACAGTAACCGTTGGTTGGGTTTTCGGGTCGTGTGGCTTTCCTCAGGTGGCCAAGGGAGTCCTTCCGCATGTCTCAGAGGAAGAGGAGGTGGTGTTTTGGGCTTTTGGCCAATCAGAGGCCAACAAAAGAGTGACGTCAGCAGGCTAATTCATGGGGCGACCGTCCCCAAAACACCCATTGCGGGCACGTCCTTCAGTGCTGCGATGTACTGCCCAGTTTGCTGCTCCTGCCCCTCTCCCTCCTGCCTGCAGTGCTTGCCTGCTTGCCTAAGGTGCCTTGCTGCCAGCCAGCAGGGAAAGATTTCTTTGTTTACCTTATTGGCATCTTTTTGTTTTCTTTTTCTTCAAAGGGTCTGGGAGTTGAGAAGGGGTGGGAGTGGATTTGGGTGCTGGGGAACATGCGTGGGCCTTTGTGGGGGGGGGGGGGGGGGGGGAGAAGGGATATCTCTGTTAGCTGCTTTTATTTGCTTTACTTTAATAATATTTTTTAAACTTTTGGGTGCCTGCATCTGGGTTGTGGAGCCTTAGTCACAGGGCATTGCCCTGATTTTGTGTTCTCCTCCCTTCCTCTCCAATCAAAATTACTTAATAATGGCTGCATCCTGCCTGGGGGAATCCTTTGCTGGGAGGTGTTAGCCGGACCTGATTGATTCATGCCTGGAATTCCTGTTTTCTGAGTGGAGTTCTTTATTTACTGTCCCGATTTTAGAGTTTTTTTAATACTGGCAGCCAGACTGCCACATTACACAGAGAATAATAATAATAATAATAATAATAATAATAATAATAATAATAATAATAATGTACATCACACAGTCCTAGATGCCTGGGAAGTGTTCGACTTGTGATTTTGTGATACGAAATCCAGCATGTAGATCTCGTTTGCTGTGACATACTGTGCTTTTGTGTCAGTAAAATAATAATAATAATAATAATAATAATAATAATAATAATAATAATAATAAATCACACAGTCCTAAACGCTTGGGAAGTGTTCAACTTATGATTTTGTGATACGAAATCCAGCATATATATCTCATTTGCTGTGACATACTGTACTTTTGTGTCAGTAAAAATAATAATAATAATAATAATAATAATAATAATAATAATAATAATAATAAATCACACAGTCCTAGACGCTTGGGAAGTGTTCAACTTGTGATTTTGTGATACGAAATCCAGGATATATATCTCATTTGCTGTGACATACTGTGCTTTTGTGTCAGTAAAATAATAATAATAAACTTTATACCCCACCACCATCTCCTGCAACGGGGACTCGGGGCGGCTTACATGAGGCCAAGCCCAAACAACAAAGTACAGCAAAATAAAACAAAAACACAAACAACAAGCAACAACATCATAATTACATAATAATAAAAGAAAAAACATACTAATACATTAGCAATATAAAAATTACAATCACAGTGACAGTGGGCGGGCCACATGTGCAGAATAAAATGATTTAAAAAATGATTAAAAAGCCATGGAAATCCAGAAGGAGCATGTCGACAATTTCAAGAAAAAGGAAGAAACCATGAAAATGAACAAAATCTAACTGTCGGTATTAAAAGAACGTTAAAATCTAGACAATAATAATAATAATACTTTATTTATATTCCGCTCTATCTCCCCAAAGGGACTCAGGGCAGATTCCAAACATAAAAGGCAAAACATTCAATGCTGAAATACAACAACAGATCCATACTAACAAAATGTATACAACCCAACATATAAATACGAATTATAACTTAACAAACTAAAATTAAATAAAAAGCAGCCTGTTATAACAGACATAAGACAAAACATCAAACATGAGTAAATAAAGACCCCCACTCAGAAAAGAGATTTTTTTTGTCCCCAGAGTATATTTCCCCACCTGTATGAAAGCCTATTTTTACGACCCCATTCCTTTATGAGTTTCTCCCTCACAAACAATCTGCTCCATCTCTGTCTCCTCCTGATTAGTGTTTTAGTTTTTATCTTGCACATGCGGCCCGCACATTGTTATTTTATTGTGTATGATTTTGTTTTATCATTTTTTGTATTTTGCTGCATTGTTATTGTGTTTTGGTTTTATTTTATTGTAATATGCTGTTGGGCTTGGCCTCATGTAAGCTGCCCTGAGTTCCCATTGGGGAGATGGTGGCGGGGTATTAAATAAAGATTATTATTATTATTATTATTATTATTATTATTATTATTATTCCAGACAGAAGTGCCAAGCCAACAAGGGCGGGGCTTACCTGGCATGGTCCACGCACTCCACCACTTTGCCAAAGGTGCCTTCACCCAGGCTCCCGACGATTTCGTCTAGGAGAAAAAACAAAAGGGGACGTGAGCGCCGGGGCAGGCGGGGGCGTGAGGCCCTGCAATTCCACCGCATTCAGGTTTTCAAGACAGGCTCTCTCACGGCTACACTCTTTTAAACACACAAGTGTCTACTTTCTGCTTCAGGCAATTACTGTTCAAAACATCCATTTATAAGCCATATAAACAAAGACACTCTAGAGACCCCTCCCGAACACTGAGAGCGATCAGTCTAACATGGGGATAGAAAGTAGAGAGGTAAAGTTTTACGAAAGGTGGCTGTACATCGCTCTTGGAGCCAATCGCCGATCCTGCACACCAGGTGACCTTCCTTGTCATCTTCCACGCTCCTGCTGCGCTTATTGCTCTGTTGGCTTCTCTGTACACACCGCCCCCCGAAACGCCATCATCCGACCAATCAGTCGCACACAGCGGGCAGTTTTCCGATTGGCAGATTGAGTTGTCATTCAAAGGCGCAGAGACGATGGTGCATCCGGTGGTTGGTTGGTTGGATTTTCCAGATCCCAGCATTTCATAAGGCACACAGCATATATAACGATAGGGATATTGCAAGGGACACGTCAAGACACAAAACCGACTTCAAAACAAAAGTTTAAAAAACAGCTACAGGTATGTAAAGAAACCGATTAGCTACAGAAGGCGGGGGCAGAGCTGTCCCTGAGCCGGGAACGGCCCCCGGGAGAGACCCGGCCATGGGGAAATACCCCAAAGAGATCTACCGGCCCCTCTGAATCGCACAGCAACCAGCGCAGAAAGGGGGCTTCAAAGGCAGCCGCTTCTCCATCGGCAACGGTCGTGGCGGCAACGCTTTGAAACCGAGAAGCCGAAGGAATTTCCCCCCTTCTCCTCTCAACCCTGCCTAGTTGCCGGCCAATTTTGTCAGGGACTCCCCAATTCCTGAAGGAAGCCACGACATATCATCATCGCTCTATGCGCTGACAGGTGTTCCCCAGCCACGCCTGTGCAATGCACCTTGCTTTCATCCCAAGCAGAAACCACACTGAGAAGAACTCTAAAGGCAAGGAGCCTTTGCTGGAATGGTTGACCAGCATTGTTGAAAACAGGGAAAACCAAGAAAAATAGACACACATCAGACCCACTGCCTCCCAAATCCTAATCTCCTGGGAAGTGGGGGGAAATCCAGTATCAAACAGACACTGGTATTAGTTCCTACTGAACGATGAACTGCTACATAGCCTAAAGTACTCGACAACCAGGACCAAGGCCCCCAATATCGGCTGATGTTTTGTTTTTTAAAAATTGTAATTTTTGCTTGCATACGCTATAATGTCCTTCAGGTAAACACAGGTTACAAGTTGAACGATACCCTCCTTTCCCTTCCCACCCGCTTCCAGAGTAGAACCAGACCACATACAAGTCCTAAAAGTGGCTGAAATGTAGAGGAGTGGAGACAATCCGAAGATTGCTAGAAAAGGCTTCCAATCTCCAAATAGTTTAGGTCATTGCATACCCTTCGCAGCAGTACATACGTCCCAAAAGACAAACCCAGAGAAGGAAAGGGGATTTAAGTTACCCACTTTTAAGGCATAATGTAAGTGTGGCTAGGAGAGAAAAACAGAGAACAGTCACATCTGTGTGCAGTACAGTGTGCACCGGTGAAAGCACTCCCAGAGATTGACCACAGGGAGGTGTGCAAACTAGTAACAGAAATATGCATTTCTGGCTCAGTGACCACTCTGCCTCCCAATAAATCATCCCTGTGACTGGCAAGTCAGGGAATGAATGGGGCTTGCCAACTTGGTGTGAATTTAAAACTGTCTTAAGCAAGCTCAAAATCAAGCTGAGGCCTAGAAGCTGAGGTTGCATGTAAATCAATACAACTTCTGACTCGAGGTGCCATAAACACCCGCCAAATATGGATCATGGCTGATGAGGGTTTCAACAACCCTGGTGTGCATTAAACTCATGGCAAGATCATTTGGCCCTTGCATCTGGCCCTGCCTAGTGAAATTTCCTGTGTTTTTAATGCTTGATTTTATATTGTTGTGTTGTGTATTATTTTGATTTTGCATTTTATGTATTTTGCTTGTTTATTGTGTTTTGTGTTATATTGCTTGTATTGTATTGATGGGCATGGCCCCATATAAGCCGCACCAAGTCCCCCTGGGGGAGATGGAGCGGGATATAAATAAAACTGTTTTATTATTATTATTATTATTATTATTATTATTATTATTATTATTGATCTGCGTGGGTCACAAGTCCTACTGGCTAGTTATACATTTAAGTAGGACAGTGTTTTCGTACAGCAACAATATCATAGAATCATAGAGCTGGAAGAGACCACACGGGCCATCTAGTCAACTCCCAGTCATGCAGGAAAAGCACAATCAAACATTCCCAACAGATGGCCGTCCAGCCTCTGTTGAAAAGCCTCCAAGGAAGGAGCTTCCAGCACTGTAGGAAGTTAATCCTAAACTATAGGAAAGGAAGGTGCAGTGGAAACCATGAGTGACCTTGAGAAATTAATTTGTCACAAAACAGACATGTAAAGAAATTCAGCGCCTACAGCTGAGCCATCCTCATGCCTGTGAAACAAAGGATGTGGCACAAGCGTTCTGAACCAAATGTACTGCTTCTCCTATGTGTTGACTCTGATTTCCCCTTCCCAACCCATTTTGGAAAACACAGGCCTTCAGTCTTGACCACCAGGGCTATTTACACAATTAAAGAACGGCTAATACATTACACAAGTGCAAAGAAACATAATTCTAAACTGTATTAAGGAGAAAGAGAGGAGGGATTAGAAGTACTCACCCAATGTTACTCAAAAGCTGAAAAAGAACTAGAATTCCGTTAAGGCCCTGACCAATCCTGAACTCATTTTGGATGCTACTCACCGAGGACGTACTGCTACAAGACCTGGTCCTGCGTTTCCGGCAGCGGTGCTGGTGCTTCCTGGTCCGGTGGCGCTCCCTCTCCCGTGATCTCCGGTGGTGGCGTGAGCGGCGAGCAGAGTAATAGTCCTCTCCAAAAGAAGGGCTTGGCTCTTCGAAGCGGTAGGCGTCGCTCTCCGTTCTGTCCCTGTACCCTCGCTGATAGGGCATTCTGTCCTGGCTGAGTTGCAAACACAAACTCCGTCACAAAACAGAAACCGGGTGCAGAGTGCAAGAGCCTTGCAAGCAACCAAAGGGTGTCGTGTGCATGCACCTCAGAGTCATCTATTGGCTTACTGCAGACCCATGAATTTCATAGAGTTTCCGTTTTCAAATATGTTTTTATTGTAAACATAGGTAGAATAATATCAAAATCCATCACCATCACCAACTCCACCAATATTCAATGTTGGGCATATCGGGTATTGGTGCCAAATTTGGTCCAGTGAATGAAAATACATCCTACATATCAGATATTTACATTACAATTCATAACAGTAGCAAAATTACAGTTATGAAGTAGCAACAAAAATATGTTTATGGTTGGAGGGCACCATAACATAAAGAACTACATGAAGGGATCATAGCATTAGGAAGGTTGAGAAACACTGCTCTAATCCTTACGTATTTGCGTTTTTTGGGGGTTTTTTGTAATTGAATTGATCCAGTATTCAATGTTGCCTTTCCATATCTCGGCCAACATTTGTTTCAATTTATATTGTTTTCCTATTTTATTGTATATGAAACCCATCAAGCCTTTCTCCTTTTCTAATTTCCACTTAAAAATTTGGTCAAAATCTGTTTCTGGGCCTTCTTTTTTTCCTTCAATTCGTAATTCTTTGTTTCAATCCATTCCAAAGAAGCCAGTTACGCCGACCACAACTGTCCTTTATTGTCTCCCAATCCATGATCGTCCCGTCTGGGTTTACGAGGTCTCTTATCAATTTAATTCCATTTTGTTTTACATTGGTTATCATTTTGCCAAATATCTGTTCCTTTTTATCATCTAGAAACCCTACTGGGAGTCTATCTACTTTATTCATTGGGAGTTTACCTTGCCATTGGTCCCCCTTTGATTTCTTTTAGAGTTTTATTGTCCACCCATCCCTTTAAACACAGGCAATGATCCCATCCGTTTATTGTATTTTTTTACTTCTGGCCCATCTTCTGGAATCGTTGAAATCTAATTCTAACAATCTTGTTAACTGACAGGCCTCAAAACAGTCTTGTAGATTAGGTACCTGTCATTCTCCATTTCATTCTGGGAAGTAAAATAATGAATTGGCTGTTCTATTTTTATTTGTTCCTGCTATCCAAGTTTTTATTGAATTGTCCCATTTCTTGATTGTTTTGCTGGGGATACTATATGGAAGGACTTGGAACAGGAATAAAAATTAGGGGAGAATCATCATTTTGACTATTTTAATATTGCTTGACATATCCCAATGCCAGTTTTGCCAATTGCAAATTTGATTTTTTCCTTTTTTTCCATAGGTGGTTATAATTTGATTGCGTCCTATCCTCAGCGGTAGTTTTACCAGTTCCTCCATCCGAAATACAGCCTACACTCCCTGGTATTACCTGGTGGCCTCCTATACAAGTATTAACTGGGCCTGATCCTGTTTAGCTTCCAAGATCAGATAGTGCCTGGTGCCTTTAAGGTACGCAAACATGACGCTTCACTACAGAGGAAGGAGATTATTATGGGATAACAACAGCCTGCGTTCTCAAAAGCATCGTACTAAATAAAGACATTCTGAACACATCAAATGTACTGCATGATTAGCACATACACTCATCGCCTACCTATTATGACACACTCTTACAGTATGCAAGAATCCATCCAGTTCTCCGGCTTTGTGCTACAATCAAGCAAACTATTCCACTCTGCGGCTGAGAGGTCATTGTTATTGCTTATTTTAAATGCCACTTCCCAGAGAAATAACATTCAAAGACATTCTAATGCACATGCATGCCTGAGCGCTGATAAATTCCCAGAGGCTCTTCTCAGCGCATGCACTTGTCTTCTGAGAGAGATTAGGCCATCTGTGGATGAAATGACGCTCTCATTTGTAGCCTCCATTTCAAAAAGGTTTTTTCCTGGCACTATCACTCTAGATTTTTTAAATACACTGTAACCCAACTGGGGCAGAAATCCCAAACCCTTAATAATCCAATATGTACTTCCCTTAAGGGGCTCACTGGTGACGCAGCGGGTTAAACCGCTGAGCAGCTGAACTTGCTGACTGAAAGGCTGGTGGTTCAAATCCAGGGAGTGGGGTGAGCTCTCACTGTTAGCCCCAGCTTCTGCCAACCTAGCAGTTTGAAAACTTGCAAATATTGAGATCAATCTGTACCATCGCGGAGATTAAGATCCTCCGGGGAGGCTCTGCTTTCCGTCCCGCCATTGTCACAGGCACGATTGGTGGGGACGAGAGACAGGGCCTTCTCAGTGATTGCTCCCCGGCTATGGAACTCCCTTCCTTGTGAGATCAGGTTGGCCCCCTCCCTCCTGTCCTTTAGAAGGATGGTAAAAACATGCCTGTGGGACCAAGCTTTCGGGACAGGGCAATGAAGCGCCAATGGGAAAGATGACAGGGCCAATTGGATTTGATGCAGATGGCTAGGACGGTTTTAAATTGTGTTATTTTAAATGGTGTATTTTAATATTTAGATAAATGTTTTTTTAAAGTTTATGTATTGTACCCAGGCATTGAATGTTTGCCATGTATATGTTGTGCTCCGCTCTGAGTCCCCTTCGGGGTGAGAAGGGCGGAATATAAGTGTTTTAAATAAATAAATAAATAGGAAACACTCCAGCCGGAAGGTAACAGCACTCCATGCAGTCATGCTGGCCACATGACCTTGGAAGTGTCTACAGACAACACCAGCTCTTCGGCTTAGAGATGGGCACCAACCCCCAGAGTTGGACACAACTAGACTTAATGTCAGGGGAAAACCATTACCTTTACTTACTTCCCTTAATAATTCACAACAGTTTTCTATTAACTGTGTGTGAAGGTAACAATACTGAAGCTTAATGCTACCCCTGCCTTTTTCCTTCTGAAAAGCATTTTAACATTTACATTAGTTTGCAGTTGTAAAGACCAAAGCAGAAAGGATTACATCCAGCATTTCTGTGGCATGTCGAAAGGAGCAAAATGTTTAATGGTTTTCCATTTGTCCACACAAACCTGTAGGTCTGCAAGATAATATTCAATTATTTGAAATGAATGAGCTTTGTAGCAGACCAAGGATTTTAATCTGAGTGTTCCAAATCTATACTGAACTCTCTGAAATGTTTCAGGGCAGTTTTAAAAACACTGGAAATGCATCACTGACATGCCTCTTTTCTTTTGAAACAAGCCAAATATGACTTATAATACCTGCCTGCATACACGGAGCAGCAGTACCTTGAATTGTCTGCAGATGACATGAAGAATACACGACAGCTTTCCTTGATTGAAAAGCCCTCAAATGCAAAAGTCTAGGTGGCCTTCATAAGAAAACAGGTGCCAGCACCAAACCTGATGAGCCACCAAAAGGCAGTGACCCCTGGTGACCACCTTCTGGACATCTTAGAGAACTTGAACGAGGAGGATTTCAGGAGGTTTGAGAGGAAACTCAATGAATTCTCAGTCAGGAAAGACTATAACAACATCCCCAAAGGGCAGCTGGAGAAGGCAGACGCGCTGGAACCGGTCGATCTTATGTGCACATACTACCCTGAGCATTACACTATAGAGGTGGCAGCCAGGGTGCTGGAGAAGATTAACATCAAAGACCAGGCAGAGAAGCTCTGGAAACTCACTGAGATGCCCCCACATCTGCCCAAGAACACCTAGGCAGTGTATAATATTACACTATAATGTTATAGTACAATGTAATACATAATATTAATATTGTGCTATGATAATAATATAATATATTGTATTTATTTTTTACTTGTAAGCCGCTCTGAGTCCCCTTCGAGGTGAGAAGGGCGGCATATACTGTATATATCGAGTATAAGCCTAGTTTTCAGCCCCTTTTTTAGGCTGAAAAAGCTCCCCTTGGCTTATACTCGAGACAAGGTTATTTATTCTTTTACTCTGTTATTTATTACATGTATTATTTTACTCTATTATTATTCTATTTACATTATTTCTCTCTATTAGTCTATTTATTATTTTGCTCTATTATTATTACATTTACAGTATTTTACCCTATTATTATTATTACATTTATTATTTTAATCTATTTATTATTATTATTATTATTATTATTATTATTATTATTACATTTACAGAATGTTACCCTATTATTACTACATTTATTATTTTACTCTATTATTACTGTTTTTATTGCATTTTCATTATTTTACTCTATTATTTTTATTATTATTTTAATAATAAGTACCTTTACATTAAAGGAGGTTAGAATAATGGTTTAATAAGAGTTGGACAGTCTTCTCTTAAATTACAGTTTTATGTAAATATTCAGAAACATTTAGCCTATTGAAGCCTCAATTAATGTAATTTTATTGGTATCTATTTTTATTTTGAAATTGACCCATAGTGGATGCATTTCCCACCCTTGGCATTGACTCGTGTCAATACGTTTTCCCAGTTTTTTGTAATAAAATTAGGTGCCTCAGTTTATATTCAGGTCAGCTTATACTCGAGTATATACAGTAAATGTCGTCAATAAATATTAATAAATAAATAAATAATAAATAAATAATATCTATGCCAAAGCCCGAATTCCCTCCTTCAAGAGAGATCCAAATGGTATGTTGCCAATTTTTCTATCAGAGTCTAAAAGTCCCAATACCGGACTCTTGGTAATACTCTGAAATGAAGTGTCGTGCTGCCACTAAGCTGCAACTACAAGCCAGTGCTGACCTTTGGAGCCCCTTCTTCAGTTTCATCCACTCTAGCTCCAACCTCCCACTGCAGAATGACCCAACGAAATCCTATGCAGGTTGGTAACATTTAAAGCTGGGAGGAATGCGTCCCATGTCTCAGTTCCAGAGTTTATTTCAGGAAGGACGCTGCTGGCACGTAGCAAACAGAGACACAATTTCCCCGTCCTCAACAGTGACATTTCTGCAGGTTGAAATCACTTAAAATGGACACATTCTTCACTGACCGTAGTCCTTCCAGGCAAAGCACTGGTTTAGGTGGCTGGGTGCTAAAGCTATGTGCAAACACAGCTCACTTCCTTTCTGAGTATTAAGCAACAATCGGCCCACACAGCAACTGTCAATATGTTACACGGGAGGGTTACTGAAACATGGGCATTAATTTTCTAATCCCTTTTTAAAGCTCTGTAATAATAGGCACAATATCTCAGAGCACCAAAGGCTTCTGAAGTATCACCTTACGTATCTTATTTCTGTGCGTTTTTATTAATTCGCGACCATGGTAATTTATTCTGGAACTCATTACCTGGAGAGATTAGGAAAGCCCCTACCCTAGAAACCTTGAAAAAGAACCTCAAAACCTGGCTCTTCCACTGCGTCTTTGGTGAGTAGGTACGCAACCTCACACTATCACTCAGCCTCAACGTTTCTGTCATTGGAGTACACGTCCCCCCTGCTCTCGTGGGAAAGCTTGGTTCCAAAACCCTGTTTTTAAATTGAGCTTCCCTTGCAAATAACCTGCTCCTCCTTTTATCTCACCCAAGTTTTTAATTATTTTTAATCATTTTATTTTGCACATGTGGCCCGTCCATTGTCACTGTGATTGCAATTTTATATTGCTAATGTATTTATATGCTTTTGGTTTTTGAGTATTATTATGTAATTATGATGTTGCTGCTTCTTGTTTGTGTTCTTGGTTTTACTTTGTTGCAATTTGTTGTTTGGGCTTGGCCTCATGTAAGCCGCCCCGAGTCCCTGTTGCAGGAGATGGTGGCGGGGTATAAATAAAGATGATGATGATGATGATTATTATTATTCCCTTATTCTGGCTCCCATAATGAGCAGAGACAGAACTGTATATCCTGGCACCAAATGACAAGGCAGGACTTTGACCTCCCAACCCTTGCTGACATTGTCTTTGAAACTGTAAAAAATGAAAATGAAAATAGGATTTTAAAGAGGTCGGCATTACCTAATAGCCGGTATGTATCTTCACAATATACTCAAGACTGTACAAAATTAGACTGGGGATTTTAAACAACCCACATGTGAGAGCTTATGTGGGAAAAGGTCAAGGGCAGCATTTCAGCATTTGGTGACCCCTGGGTGGGTTGCCAAAGACCATCAGAAAACACAGTATTTTCTGTTGGTCATGGGGGTTCTTTTCTATCAATTCTATCAGGCCAATCTTCAGAATGTTCTTTGATTATGGGTGAACTATAAATCCCAGCAACTACAACTCCCAAATCTCAAGGTCTTTTTTCCTCAAACCCCACCTCACATTTGGACATAGTGAGGATTTGTGCCAAGTTTGGTCCACATCCATCATTGTTTTGAGTCCACAGTGCTCTCTGGATGTAGATGAACTACAACTCCAAAATGCAAGGTCAATGCCCACCAAACCCTTCCAGTATTTTCTGTTGATCATGGGAGTTCTGTGTGCCAAGTTTGGTTCAATTCCATGGTTGGTGGAGTTTGGAATGCTCTTTGATTGTAAGTGAACTATAAATCTCAGCAAATACAACTCCCAAATGACAAAATCAATCCCCCCTCTCAACCCCGCCAGTATTCAAATTTGTACGTATTGGATATTTGTGCCAAATTTGGTCCAGTGAATGAAAATACATCCTGCATATCAGATATTTACATTACAACTCATAACAGTCATAAAATTACAGTAATAAAGTACCAATGAAAATAATGTTATGTTATGGTTGTGGGTCACCACCACAGGAGGAACTGTATTAAGGGGTCACAGCATTAGGAAGGTTGAGAACCACTGATCTAGGGGGTGAACACTGTAGAATGAATGCAATTTGACACCACTTGAACTGGCCTGGCTCAATGCTATAGAGTCATGGGAGTTTTATGAGTCTTTAGCCTTCTATAGCAAAAAAAAAAGTGATGTCACCTCACCAAATTACAAATCTAAGCACTTTGCACCATTAAGCCATAGCAGTTGGATCAAACAGCATCAATTCTGCAGTGTAGAGCCAACCTAAACCAGTTCTATCCTCTGATTTCAAAATAGGAAACCAACTGTGATCCTGGTTAAGAGTATAAGCCAGGCCACAATAGAAATCCTCCCTGGCAGAAGCTCACCTCCTAGAACGTGACCTCCTGGAGAGATCCCGGCGAATCGGGTACCGTGTCCTTCCTTCGTAGTGCTCCCGGCTGCGAGACCGCCTCCTCTTCCACCGGTGGCTCATGTAGGGCTCTGGCTCAGGCGAGCGATAGCGCTTGCAGTGATGCATCTGGACACACAAGGGAAGGTCTTCCATCAACACCAGGTGACAAATCCCTCCAGCCAGAAAGGCTTCATTCAGCAGTCTAGGCTCTCAACATTTGACTCCTTTCCCCAAGTCCCAAACTTGACTCCTGACATTTTGGGAAAACAATGCCAGTATGTCATGCATGTACTATGTTTTGGGAGAGTGATGTCAGAGCATTATGAAATTCAGGAATATTCATATCAGAGGGCCTTTGTGACATAAGCAACAGACTCGCCAGCAGCTATTGTTTTAAAGGCATAGTACCAAATTTTACACAAGCCTATAACCCACTTGGATTCGTAAGAGGCATTCTTTTATCCTAAATCCCATAAATAAACCCTGTTTGCAGAAAGAGCTCTCAGAACTGCAGGTTAGATTCATTTTGTTACTATCTTTGACTGAAAGGGAACGGCCAAAACAAACAGAACAAAGTAAGAAATGCCACATGAACAGAACACAGCATAAGCGGAAGGGGGAATTCTGGATCAACCAGAGAGAAGAAGCACTTTAGGACTAGAAAGCATTCTGAGTAAGATCCCCTATCGTAGGGCTTATTTCCAAGGAAAGATGCATAAGCTCAGTCTGAATGTGCAGGTCTTATACAACTACTTTTATTCTGGGCCCTTCCACACAGCCTTATATCCCAGAATATCAAGGTAGAAAATCCCACAACATCTGCTTTGAACTGAATTATCTGAGTCCATACTGTCTTATATTCTAGTTCAAAGCAGACATGGTGAGATTTTCTACCTTGATATTCTGGGATATAAGGCTGTGCGGAAGGGCCCTTTAGCTGAATTAAGCTCACAAAAAACTTCCACTGGCTCCACTGAACAACTCCATTTTGATTTCAGTCATCACAGCTTTTATTGCTAGATCTTAAATCATACGCAACACAAAGCCAAGATCAAGCTTGCTTAATCTGCATTCTGGAGAGGAAGAGTCCAACGGCTGCTGTTTCATTACCAAATGTATTCCAATTACTTTAATCATCGCTGCCCAACTTTACATCTAACTCTCATGGGAAGAGATACAAAGAGCTCCAGAAAGCATCCAACCAAGGCCTGGACTCCTTATCGCTGCAAATCAGCCTTCCAGATCATTCTTTTGTAATCTGACTCAGCCGCATATGTAATATAAATCCCTGACGTAGGGAACATCCTTCTTTCTATTGTCAGATCATTCAATCATCCCCAGAACAAACATTTTATGAAGATCAAGGATGAAAACAAACAGAAAAGGGGGGAACATGCAGGAAGGTTGCATACAACAATTCACTCTAAAAAATCAAAGACTGCATGAAGATCCTGAGAAGCTATTTCCAAATAAACCAGGAGCTGTAAAACAGACTTGATTCAGGACAGTTAATCTTGGGGTGCATTTACACTGTACAGTAAATGAAATTTGTCAACTCTGTAACTGCAATGGCTCAATGCTATAGAAGCCTGGGAGTGCTAGTTTTGCTAGGTATTGAGCCTTCTCTGCCAAAGAGTGCTGGTGCCTCATCAAATTGCAACTCCCTGACGCCATAGCCATGGGCAGATAAAAGTGGCGTCAAATTACACTTTAAATTACCATGGAATCCTGTGATTTTTAGCTTAGTCCTCACCCAATTAAAAAAAAACCCTAATAAAATGACAACTCCCAGCATCCCATAGTATGGAGCCATGGCAGTTAAAGTACTATCAAACTGCATTAATTCTACAACCTAGGGCCCTTCCACACAGTCATAAAACCCAGAATATCCCACAATATCTGCTATATTCCAGTTCAAAGCAAAAAATGTGGGATTTTATTCCGTTGTATGGAAGAAGCTGTAGTTATGGTGGGGTTCAACACCGCCCCCCCCCCAAACATGGAAACCCACGTGGGCGAGTCACATTCTCCCAGCCTCAGAGAAACATCAAGGCAAACCCCCTCTGAATAAGGCTTGCTTTAAGGCACTGGTTCCCACCTATGGGTCCCCAGATGTTTTGGCCTTCAACTCCCAGAAATCCTAACAGCTGGGAGTTGAAGGCCAAAACATCTGGGGACCCATAGGTTGAGAACCAGCTGGTAAACTGGCTGGGATTTCTGGGAGTCGTAGGCCAAAAACACCTGGGGACACACAGGTTGAGAACCACTGCTTTAAGGTCTCATACACCCAAAACTAATAGCAGGAAAGATGAATGAATGCACTTCTTCAATAGCAACATCCAGGGCTGTCACTCTGGAAATGTTTTGCTCTTCTAAAATACAGACTGAAAGCGCCTTAGCCAAGTACAATACCACAAAAAGGAATCGTGCCAGTCTGTCTGGTTTTACCGCCTGATAGTTAAGCGTCAGCCTTTTCAGTCTATCAGGGCTGAGCTGGAGAGAACACATTGGTTAATCAGTGGCCCAACATCCTGCTGCACGGCCTTTGTCTTTGGCTGGAGCTACACTGCCATATAATCCAGTTTCTGAATCCAGATCATCTGCTTTGAATTGGATTATATGAGTCTACACTGCCATATAACAATATTAAAAACAGTAGTAGTAGTAGTAGTAGTAGTAGTAGTAGTAGTAGTAGTAATAATAATAATAACTTCATTTATACCCCGCCACCATCTCCCCGAAGGGACTTGGGGCAGCTTACATGAGGCCAAGCCCGTCAAAGACAAATACAACAATACATCCACAAACAAGCAAGCAAGCAAGCAAATAAACAATATAAATAATACAATTGAACATATAAGCAATAACACACAAAAAATTAAAAACATTATGGCAGGGCCAGATGTAAATTAAAATGTTAAAACCCCGGGCGTGTACAGAGTAGGGTATGTCTAGTCATGGGGGGTTTAAAAATGATATGGGGGGATCAATCCAACAGATAGATAAAGTGCTTAATATTTATAAAGCAAAGTAGTTAAAAGCAGATCATTTGGATTCAGAAACTAAATTATATGGCAATATAGATGGGGCCTTTGTTTCTGTTTCTCTGTCTGCTTCCTTTATTTTGCTTTCCACATTTGCTGGGATTAGAGCAGGCATGGACAACTTCAGCCCTCCAGGTGTTTTGGACTTCCAACTCCAGATATTTTGGACTGCCTGCCGGCTGTTAAGAATTCTGGGAGTTGAATTTCAAAACACATGGAAGCCCCAAATTTGCCCATTCCTGGGTTAGAGGCACAGGACCTATGGAATTATGGAAGTTATTAAAGGAATTATGGGAGTTGAAGTCCAAAACACCTGGAGGGCCCAAGTTTGTCTATTCCTGCTTTAGATTCCTGTTACTCACCTCAAGTCCCTATATCTAGAGATAAAGGCATGGAGGGGGGGGGGCATATTTATTCATTTTATTGTCGAAGGCTTTCATGGCCGGAATCATAGAATCATAGAATCAAAGAGTTGGAAGAGACCTCATGGGCCATCCAGTCCAACCCCCTGCCAAGAAGCAGGAATATTGCATTCAAATCACCCCTGACAGATGGCCATCCAGCCCCTGTTTAAAAGCTTCCAAAGAAGGAGCCTCCACCACACTCCGGGGCAGAGAGTTCCACTGCTGAACGGCTCTCACAGTCAGGAAGTTCTTCCTCATGTTCAGATGGAATCTCCTCTCTTGTAGTTTGAAGCCATTGTTCCGCGTCCTAGTCTCCAAGGAAGCAGAAAACAAGCTTGCTCCCTCCTCCTCCCTGTGGCTTCCTCTCACATATTTATACATCATTGGGTTGCTGTAAGTTTCTGGAATATATGGCCATATTCCAGAAGCATTCCTGACGTTTCTCCTGCATCTATTGCAGGCATCCTCAGAGGTTGTGAGGTCTGTTGGAAACTAGGAAAGTGGGATTTATATATCTGTGGAATGTCCAGCGTGGGAGAAAGAACTCTTGTCTGTTGCAGGTAGGTGTGAATGTTTCAATTGGCCACACTGATTAGCACTTAGTGGCCTAGCAGTTCTCCAGGCCTGGCTTCTTACTCCCTGGGGGAATCCTTTATTGAGAGGTGATTAGCTGTCCCTGATTGTTTCTTGCCTGGAGTTTCTCTGTTTTTGAATATTACTCTTTATTTACTGATAAGATTTTAGAATTCTTTCTCCTACCCTTCTCCTCTATGCCCCCCCAACTTTGGAACTCATTGCCCGGTGAGATTAGGAAGGCCCCCACCTTAGAAATTTTCAAGAGGGATCTCAAAACCTGATTTTTCTAATGCGCTTTTGGAGAATAGCCATATTATCGTACACCGTTGCTCCCACTCAACGGTTTTTGTCCCCAGAGTATATTTCCCCACCTGTATGAAGGCCTATATTTATGACCCCGTTTCTTTATGAGTTTCTCACCCACGAACAATCTGCTCCATCCCTAAAATCTCATCCTGATTTTAGCATTTTTAGTATCTTAGTTTTTATCTTGCACATGCACTCATTGTTATGTTATTTATTGTGTATGATTTTGCTTTATCGTTTTTTGCACTAATATGTTGTATGTATTTTATTGTGTTGTTATTGTGTTTTGGTTTTACTTTATTGTAGTATGTTGTTGGGCTTGGCCTCATGTAAGCCGCCCCGAGTCCCCATTGGGGATATGGTGGCAGAGAATTGAATAAAGATTATTATTATTATTATTCCACAGCTATATAAACCCCACTTGCCTAGTTTCCAACAGACCTCACAACCTCTGAGGATGCTTGTATGGATGTGGGCGAAACATCAGGAGAGAATGCTTCTGGAACATGGCCAGACAGCCCGCAAAACATACAGCAACCCATTTATTCATTTACTTGAGTATAAGCCCAGTTTTTCAGTCCTTTTTTTAGGCTGAAAAAGTCTCCCCCGGCTTATACTCGAGTCAATATTATTTATTATTTTACTTTGTTATTATTATTATTATTACATTTTATTGTTGTTATTATTACATTTATTATTTTAATCTATTATTGTTATTGTTACCTTATTCTACTGTATTGTTATTATTACGTTTATTATTTTACTCTATTATTATTATTATTGGAGGACATGTAAGCATATTTACATTGAAGAAGGTTAAGATAATGGTTTAATCAGAGTTGGACAGTCTTATCTTGAATTACTTTTATGTAAATATTCAAAAACATTTAACCTACTGATGCCTAAATTAATTTAATTTTACTGGTATCTATTTGTATTTTGAAATTTACCAGCATCTGCTGCATTTCCCAACCTTGACTTATACTCAAGTCAATACATTTTCCCAGTTTTTTCTGGTAAAATTAGGTGCCTCGGCTTATGTTCAGGTCGGCTTATACTCGAGTATATACGGTATATCCTGCTTTATCTGTACCTACGGAGTCTCAAAGCAGCTCGCAACTGAAAACATTCCAATGTAAAATATACACATATACAACAATAAAGCAGTATATCATCATATATTATCAGTAGTAATTATACTTAATATATTAGTGTTACTGTTTTCATATATTATCAGTAGTAATTATACTATATATATAAGCATTACTATATTACAATATTATGATATATTATATTGCATTATATTATATCATATACTAGCTGTCCCCTGCCACGCGTTGCTGTGGCCCAGTCTGTTTATCTGTGTGGGAAGTTTGCCCTGATTCTGTCATTTGTGGGGTTCAGAATGCTCTTTGATTGTAGGTGAACTGTGAATCCCAGTGACTACAACTCCCAAATGTCAAGGTCTATTTCCCCCAAACTCCATCTGTGTTCATATTTGGGCGTATTGAGTGCTTGTGCCAAGTTTGGTCCACATTCATCATTGTTTGAGTCCACAATGCTCTCTGGATGAAAGTGAACTACAACTCCCAAAGTGAAGGTCAATGCCCACCAAACCCTTCCAGTATTTTCTGTTGGTCATGGGAGTTCTGTGTGCCAAGTTTGGTTCAATGCCATCGTTGAGGGAGTTCAGAATGCTCTTTGATTGTAGGTGAACTATAAATCCCAGCAACTACAACTCCCAAATGACAAAATCATAATTTGAGTGATGGTCACTCCTTGTGTTGTGAGACGTTTTGTTGCCAAATTTGGTGTGATTTCGTTCATTGGTTCTTTTGTTTTTAAGGTACTCATTATGCACAGAGCATTTTTATATAGATAGATTATATTTATATTAAATATCATATTAGCATAAAAATAAAGGGAATAAATAAACATCATTGGGTTGCTGTAAGTTTTTTGGGCTTTCTGGGCATATTACAGAAGCATTCTCTCCTGACATTTCGCCCACATCTATGTGAGGCATCCTCATAGCCTCAGGCCCTTAAGCGGCTGAGGGGGAAAAGGAAGGGGCCTGAGGCTGTGAGGATGCCTGCCATAGATGTGGGCGAAACGTCAGGAGAGAATGCTACCGGTACATGTCCATACAGCCCAGAAAACTTACAGCAACCCAGAGATTCCGGCCATGAAAGCCTTCCTTCGAGAACACAATAAATATAATTACCCAGGAGGGTCTGAACCCAAGGCCTCAAGCGTGGAAGAAATCGTCCATTGAATAGCCAAGCTCAGATCCCACGAGAGTTGCCTCCAAATATCGCGACAGTAGCGCGAGGGAGCAGCTGTGGGCCGCCCCCCAAGGGATTGGCGGGAGGGCCCGGAGGGGGCGGGCCTAGCTCGATTTTCCTCCTATCAGGGGTTAGGCCCCGCCCACAGGGACTCCTCTCACTGTCTTCGCAGGCTCGGCCTTGTCGACTAGGCCCGGCGAGGCCCAACTGGCCGTTTTACCCTTCCCGCCCTCGGCGCCCCGTTCCCCAACGTTAACCGGCAGCAGACGCCGAGGCCAAAGCCCGCAGGCCGCTCACCGCGCTCTCGTTCTCCTCCGCTCCCCTCCGAGGCTTCCTTCGACTGCGACGGACGACAGGCAACTCCTCGCGCAGGCGCAGTAGGCGCTCTTCCCTGAGCTGAGGGGGAGGGAGAGACGAGTCGGCGACGCGCGGGCCAGAGCGGCCGACGTCTCGCTCTTTCCCCCGCCCTCTCGCTCTCTCTCTCTTTCCAACTCTGCGGTCGTGGAGGACTGCGGCAGAGGACTGGGCGGGGCCGTGACGTCACTAGCGTCAAAGAGGATGCGCCCTCACTGGGTTTCGCAGACACTTCCGGTTCGAAAGCAGGAAGGAGGAAATCACTGGTTTAGGAATCAAGAGTCACAATAAAGGAATAATACTAATAATAAATAATATGTAAATTAATAATAATAATAATAAATAGTATGAATAAATATAATATTACACTAATAAATGAATAATAAAATTTAATAATAATAATAATAATAGTATGAATAAATATAATATTACACTAATGAATAATAAAATTAAATAATAATAATTAATATAATAATAATTAATTAAGTCACAGTAATGGTGTTATATACAGTATTAATACTAATAATAAATAATATGTAAATTAAAAAATAAATAAATGGTATGAATAAATATTAAACTAATAAATGAATAACAAAATTAAATACATAATAATTACTATAATAATTATTATTAAGTCACAGTAACGGCGTTATATAAAGTATTAATAATAGTAATAATATATAATGTGTAAATTAATAATAAATAGTATGAATAAATATAATATTACACTAATGAATTAACAATAAAATTAAATAATAATAATTACTATAATAATAATTAATTAAGTCACAATAATGGCGTTATATACAGTATTAATAATAGTAATAATAAATAAAGTGTACATTAATAATAATAAATAGTATGAATAAATATAATAATTAATTAAGTCACAATAATGGCGTTATATACAGTATTAATACTACTAATAAATAATATGAAAATTAAAAAATAAATAAATGGTATGAATAAATATTATATTATACTAATAAATGAATAATAAAATTAAATAATAATAATAATATTATAATAAGTCACAATAATTGTGTTATATACAGTATTAATAATAATAATAATAAATAATGTGTAAAATAAAAAATAAATAAATGGTATGAATAAATATTGTATTATACTAATAAATGAATAATAAAATTAAATAAATAATATTAATTACTATAATAATAATTAATTAAGTCAAAATAATGGGGTTATATACAGTATTAATAATAATACTAATAAATAATATTTAAATTAAAAAATAAATAAATAGTATGAATAAATATTATATTATACTAATAAACGAATAATAATTAAGTCACAATAATGACGTTATATACAGTATTAATATTAGTAATAATAAATAATATGAAAATTAAAAAATAAATAAATGGTATGAATAAATATTATATTATACTAATAAATGAATAATAAAATTAAATACATAATAATTATTATTATTAATTAAGTCACAATAATGGTGTTATATACAGTATTAATAATAGTAATAATTAATAATGTGTAAATTAATAATAAATAGTATGAATAAATATAATTTTGCACTAATGAATAATAAAATTAAATAATAATAATATTATAATAATAAGTCACAATAATCGCATTATATACAGTATTAATAATAGTAATAATAAATAGTATGAATAAATATTACACAAATGAATAATAAAATTAAATAATAATAATTAATATAATAATAATTAAGTCACAATAATGGTGTTATATACAGTATTAATACTAATAATAAATAATATGAATAAATATAATATTACACTAATAAATGAATAATAAAATTAAATAATATAAATAAATAATATATAATAATACAATAATAATTAAGTCACAGTAATGGCGTTATATACCATATTAATAATGCTACTAATAAATAATATGTAAATTAATAATAATAATAATAAAGTATGAATAAATATAATATTACACTAATAAATAATACAACTAAATAATAATAATTACTATAATAATAATTAAGTCACAATAATGGTGTTATATACAGTATTAATACTAATAATAAATAATATGAATAAATATATTACACTAATAAATGAATAATAAAATTAAATAATATAAATAAATAATATATAATAATATAATAATAATTAAGTCAAAGTAATGGTGTTATATACCGTATTAATCTCTGTCTATGAACCCACGCGTTCACTTCGGTCATCTGGAGAGGCCCTGCTTGTGATCCTGCCTGCATCGCAAGCGCGCTTGGTGGGGACTCAAGACAGGGCCTTTTCTGTGGTGGCCCCCCGACTCTGGAATACCCTCCCCAAAGATCTTAGACAGGCCCCTACATTGGCAGTCTTCAGAAAGAACTTGAAGACCTGGCTGTTCCGATGTGCCTTCTCAGATTAGGAACCTCCCATACCAAGTCCTAGAAGCACTTTAGTAGAACTAAGATTGCTGCACTCTGCACACTGCACTTATAATCCTGCATACCTCCTGCCACATCAGCACTTTTAACCTTGTACCCATTACTCTGGCCCGGCCCAGTTTTATAGTGTCTTGATGTATTGTTTATTGCTTGTTGTTTATTCTGCTTAACTGTTTTTAATTTGCTTTATGTACTGTATTGTTGTGTTGTGTTTTGAGGCCTGTGTAAGCCGCATCGAGTCCTTCGGGAGATGCTAGCGGGGTACAAATAAAGTAATAATAATAATAATAATTAATATGTAAATTAATAATAATAAAGAGTATGAATAAATATTACACTGATGAATGAATAATAAAATTAAATATTAATATAAATATAAATAATTAATATTAATATTAATAATATAATATTAGTAATAAATTAAGTCACAATAATGGCAATATATACAGTATTAATAATACTACTAATAATATATAAATTATTAATAATAAATAATATGAATAAATGTTATATTAAACTAATAAATGAATAATAAAATTAAATAATAATAAATAATATAAATAACAATATGAATAATAAATATAATAATAAATTCAATCACAATAATGGTGTTATATACAGTATTAATAATACTACTAATAAATAATATGTGAATTAATAATAAATAATATGAATAAATATAATATTACACTAATGAATAATAAAATTAAATAATAATAAATACTATTTAATATGAATACTAATTAATATAATTAATTAAGTCACAAAAATGGCTTTATATACAGTATTAATACTACTAATAAATAATATGTAAATTAATAATAATAAATAGTATGAATAAATATAATATTACAGTGATGGTTGAATAATAAAATTAAATAATAATAGAAAATATAAATAATAATTAATATTATTAATAATAATATATTAGTAATAAATTAAGTCACAACAATACTAATATTAAATAATACGTGGATTAATAATAATAATAAATAGTATGAATAAATATAATATTACACTAATAAATGAATAATATAATATATATATAGTTTGACTGTGTCAGGAGCAACCTGAGAAACTGCAAGTTGTGTGTGAGAGAATTGGCCGTCTGCAAGGACGTTGCCCAGGAGATGCCCGGATGATTTGGTGTTTTATCATCCTTGTGGGAGGCTTCTCTCATGTCCCCGCATGAAGAGCTGGAGCTGACAGAGGGAGCTCATCCACCTCTCCCCGGATTCGAACCTGCGACCTGTCAGTCTTCAGTCCTGCCAGCACAGGGGTTTAACCCACTGCGCCACCGGGGGCTCCTATAATTTAATAATATAAATAAGACATATTATTATTAATACTATAATAATTAATATAAATAATCATAAAGAAATAATAATAGCAATATTAAATTAATTACAAGAAAGCATTTGACTCACTGCCACATAGTTGCGATCATCAAATGTCTGGATGTCATCGGGGTGTGTGAAAATATTAGCAAGTTCACTGAAAATGCAATGAAACTACCCCGCTCCTCAAACCGCCAACCTTTCAGTCAGCAAGTTCAGCAACTCAGCAGTTTAACCCGCTGCGCCACCAGGGGGCCCTGTAGTGGTATAGCCTTGTCAGTGTAGACTCATATAATCCAGTTCAAAGCAGATGATGTGGATTATCTGCTTTGATAATCCAGTAAAGGTAAGGTAAAGGTTCCCCCTGACATTAAGTCCAGTCGTGTCCATCTCTGAGACTCTAGTGCTCATCTCCATTTCTAAGCCAGCTTGTCCATAGACGCCTCCAAGGTCATGTGGCCAGCATGACTGCATGGAGTGCCATTACCTTCTGCAGTAGCAGTACCTATTGATCCCACATTTACACGTTTTCGAACTGCTAGGTTAGCAGAAGCTGGGGCTAACAGCGGGAGCTCATGCCACTCCCCGGATTCGAACCTGCAACCTTTTGGTCAGCAAGTTCAGCACTTTAACCCACTGTGCCACCGGGAGCTCCTCCTAATCTGGATTATATGGCAATGTAGAAGGGGCCTTAGGCAAAGAAGGCTAAAGACCTTGAGAAACTACAAATCCCATAATCCTATAACATTGAGCCAGAACAGTTCGAGTGATGTCAATCTGAAAATGCACCTGGCATTTCTGGACGGTCTCCCATCCAAAGACTGACCAGCCCTGGCCCTGCTTAGCTTCCAAAATCAGATGGGATCTGGTGCCTTTTAAGGGTGTGTTGGTCCTATTCTACATTTGGTGTTGGGACCCCGTAGTCTCTTATTGTTGGCCTTCTTCCTCTCCCTGGTGGCCCTTCCCTATTCTCTCTACAATGGGCCAGAAGAAGCCAGCGCAAAGAGAGGCGTGTTGCGGCCACGGTTTCCATAGCAGCTGCCCTGTGTTCGTTGGCAAAGCTGGCACGCTGGAACAGAAGCAAGCCGGACCCATTGGAAAGCCTTTCTTACAGCATTCGGGACTTGGAGTTATAGTACACGTTTCTCAGCAGGTATCTGACTTTCTCATTTCTTTAGCACGCTTCAACCACCACAGAGTAGTCTACATTGCAGAATTAATGCAGTTTGACGCCACTTGTACTGCTATGACTCAAGGCTATGGAATCCTGGGAGGTACCGTTTGAAAGAGAAGGATAACGACCTTGCAAAACTACAACTCGTAAGATTCCATATCTTATTTACTTACTTAGGCGATCCCTCGTAGTCCGAGGATGATGGTCCTCCAAGTGTAGTGTCCTGGCAGTAGGTCCGTATTCTTGACTTACATGTTCTGCATGGTTTCCAGGTAGAAGGCGGTCCCGGTCGCGGTTGCTTTGATGCGCCTTCCTCTTGGCACGTTTCTCTCTTTTGCCCTCCATTCGTGCCTCTTCAAATTCTACAGCACTGCTGGTCACAGCGGACCTCCAACTGGAACGCTCAAGGGCTAGGGCTTCCCAGTTCTCGGTGTCTATGCCAGAGTTTTTAAGGTTGGCTTTGACCCAACTTTAAATCTCTTTTCCTGCCCACCAACATTCCGTTTTCCGTTCTTGAGTTCGGAGTAGAGCAACTGCTTTGGGAGACAGTGGTCGGGCATCCGGACAACGTGGCCGGTCCAGTGAAGTCAATGGCGGAGGACCATCACTTCAGTGCTGGTTGTTTTTGCTTCTTCCAGCATGCTGACATTTCCCCGCTTGTCTATCCAAGAGATTTGCAGGATTTTTCGGAGGCAGCACTGTTGGAATCGTTCCAGGAGTTGCATGTGACGTCTGTAGACAGTCCACGTCTCACAAGTGTATAGCAGGGTTGGGAGGACAATAGCTTTATAAACAACCACCTTGGTCTCCCTATGGATGTCCTGGTCCTCAAACACTCTCTGCTTCATTCGGAAGAATGCTGCACTCGCAGAGCTCAGGTGGTGTTGTATTTCAGTCTCAGTGTTGACATCTGTAGACCGTCCACGTCTCACAGGTGTATAGCAGGGTTGGGAGGACAATGGCTTTATAAACAAGCACCTTGGTCTCCCTACGGATGTTCCGGTCCTCAAACACTCTCTGCTTCATTCGGAAAAATGATGCACTCGCAGAGTGCAGGCGGTGTTGTATTTCAGTATCAATGTTGACATCTGTAGACAGTCCACGTTTCGCAGGCATATAGCAGGGTTGGGAGGACAATGAAATTATAAACAAGCCCCTTGGTCTCTCAACGGATGTCCCAGTCCTCAAACACTCTGTGCTTCCTTCGGAAAAATGCTACACTTGCAGAGCTCAGGCGGCGTTGTATTTCAGTGTCAATGTTGACATCTGTAGACCGTCCATACCTCGCAGGCGTATTGCAGGGTTGGGAGGACAATGGCTTTATAAACAAGCACCTTGGTATCTCTACAGATATCCCGGTCATCAAACACTCGTTGCTTCATTCAAAAAAATGCTGCACTCGCAGAGCTCAGGCGGTGTTGTATTCCAGTGTCAATGTTGACTTTTGTGGAGAGGGGGCTGCCAAAGGAGTGGAAATGGTCAACATTTTCTAATGTTACACCATTAAGCTGTATTTCTGGCATTGGAAAGGGGTTGGCTGGTGACTGCTGGAAGAGCACTTTGGTTTTCTCGATGTTCAATAAGAAGCCGAGCTTCTCGTATGCTTCTGCGAAGGTGTTTAGAGTGGCTTGTAGATCTTCTTCTGAATGCGCACAGACGACATTGTCATCAGCATATTGAAGTTCTATAACAGATGTTGTAACCTTGGTTTTGGCTTTCAGTCTGCTGAGGTTAAATAGCTTGCCATCTGTCCGATAGATGATTTCCACTCTGGTGCACTCCATATCATTGTGCAGTGAAAGTGACATTGAACTGCATTAATTCTACCATATAGAGGGACTATGGATAGAGCTGCAATGCTGGTTAGTGTTTCTGTGTTCTGCATCCTGCCTTTAAAGCAACAATGAGGTGGGAGTCAAGCTTGCAATGGCAACATTCACAGTTGCTTTTAACAGACAAGGGTTCTTTCTCCCACCCTGGACATTATTCCACAGGGATATACACACTCCATGTGCATCACTGCCAATAGAACCTCTGAAGCTGCCAGCCACAGATGCAGGTGAAACATCAGGAGAGAATGCTGTTGGAACATAGTCATGCAGCCCAAAAAAATCTCACAGCAGCCCAAGATAAAAGTTATATAGAAAGTCATGAAGAATAGATACAATTTATTAAAGAGTTTGGTATGAAAGCTGTTGCTGGTTTGGTCTTCAACTTATGATGGTTTGAGCCTGTGGAAGTGTGGAAAGGGTCTTTTTAAAAGGTGGCTGAATCATATATTTGGGTTGTTGTAGGTTTTTTCGGGCTATATGGCCATGTTCTAGAGGCATTCTCTCCTGACGTTTTGCCTGCATCTATGGCAGGCATCCTCAAAGGTTGTGAGGTCCTCACAACCTCTGAGGATGCCTGCCATAGATGCAGGTGAAATGTCAGGAGAGAATGCTTCTAGAACATGGTCATACATCCCAAAAAACCTACAACAACCCAGTGATTCTTGAAAGGCTTTCATGGCCGGAATCACTGGGTTGTTGTAGGTTTTTTTCGGGCTATATGGCCATGTTCTAGAGGCATTCTCTCCTGACGTTTTGCCTGCATCTATGGCAAGCATCCTCAGAGGTTGTGAGGTCCTCACAACCTCTGAGGATGCTTGCCATAGATGCAGGCGAAATGTCAGGAGAGAATGCCTCTAGAACATGGCCATAGAGCCCGAAAAAACCTACAGCAACCCAGTGAATTAATAATAATAATAATAATAATAATAATAATGGGTTGTTGTAGGTTTTTTCGGGCTATATGGCCATGTTCTAGAGGCATTCTCTCCTGACATTTTGCCTGCATCTATGGCAAGCATCCTCAAAGGTTGTGAGGTCTCACAACCTCTGAGGATGCTTGCCATAGATGCAGGCGAAACATCAGGAGAGAATGCCTCCAGAACATGGCCATATAGCCCGAAAAAACCTACAACAACCCAGTGATTCCGGCCATGAAAGCCTTCGACAATAATATATTTCTGGGCCCTTGGTGAACTATAAATCTATGGGGTGGGGGGTATCCTACTCGACAACATGAGCTTCTATTACTTGTAAGATGTGTTCTTAGCTTTCAAAGCACAATGATTTATTTTCCTTCCTAGATTCAGAGGGACTGCAACGCCTCGCTCCCAAGATCCATCCTGATTTAGGAGAGTCCTGAAATGTTACTCCAAAGGGGATTTATGGGGTTGCCTTCCTGGTCTGGACACCGACATTCCCAACATGGTGCCATTGAAATGGGGGATTCAGGTCTGCTTAGTAATGATATAGAAAACTGTTGTTGTTGTTATTTGTCAGGAGTCAATTTCTGACAGCATGAAGACATTACAAATTCCCTCCTGGCTGACATCCTGGCTGACTCAATTCTCCCTCTGCGACATTTTGAAGCCTGCAGAGGGCACTGGAAACCTTGTATTGGAACTTGTGAAGCAACAAGTTCTAATAAGGAAACTGAGAAGAGGGAGGAGATGGACAAGAAAGGTGTATAAAAAGACATGGTGGTGGGAAAAAGTTAGTAGTGTCTTTCTTTGCTGCAGAGATGCAAGCAATATATCCATTTCAAAGCAGAACCGGCTTGTGAGTGGTTATTTAATATTGCTATATAGATCCTACAGTTACATTATTATTTTACCATTTCTCTCCATATTTGTCTGCTGCAGAAGTGAAGAGGAAAGAGAAGAGCTGGGGTCTTCCTCCAAATCTTCCCTTTCCATCAAAGGTAACCGCAATAATAGTTGTCCAAAAGTTTTTCCTTTCAGGGGGATTATGCATATTTATATCTATATCTATATAAATGTAATGTTCGTTTTGACACCAAATTTGGACACAATACATCTGTCAGGCCAATGAGTGACCATCACTCGAAAAACATTGAAAAACATAGCACAAGAGACTTAAAACAAAAACATATTACAATGCATGCGCATAACTACACAAATACACATATACACAAATATATACACACACCTATTATACACATAGAGCCCCCGGTGGCGCAGTGGGTTAAAGCGCTGAGCTGCTGAGCTTGTTGACCGAAAGGTCGCAGGTTCGATTCCAGGGAGCGGCGTTAGCTTTCACTGTCAGCCCTAGCTTCTGTCAACCTAGCAGTTTGAAAACAGGGCGCTCCATGCAGTCATGCCAGCCACATGACCTTGGAGGTGTCTGTGGACAATGCTGGCTCTTCGGCTTAGAAATGGAGATGAATACCAGAGTCCCAGATTCGGACACAACTGGACTTAATGTCAGGGGACAACTTTACCTTTCCCTATTATACACATATATGCAAACACAAAACACATATACACAGACTGGGCCACAGCAACATGTGGCAGGGGACGGCTAGTGTGTGTGTATGTATGTGTGTGTGTGTGCGTGCATGTGTGTGTGTATATATGTGTGTGTGTGTGTGTATATATATATATATATATATATATATATATATATATAATACATATACACACATAATGTAATGTAATATATTATGGAGCCCCCGGTGGCGCAGTGGGTTAAAGCACTGAGCTGCTGAGCTTGTTGATCGAAAGGTCGCAGGTTCGATTCCGGGGAGCGGCGTGAGCTTCCGCTGTCAGCCCTAGCTTCTGCCAACCTACAGTTCGAAAACATGCAAATGTGAGTAGATCAATAGGTACCGCTCCAGCGGGAAGGTAACGGCGCTCCATGCAGTCATGCCGGCCACATGACCTTGGAGGTGTCTACGGACAACGCTGGCTCTTCGGCTTAGAAATGGAGATGAGCACCACACCCCAGAGTCAGACATGACTGGACTTAATGTCAGGGGACTACCTTTACCATATATATATATATATATATATATATATATATATATATATATATATAAATGCTCTGGTCATAATGAGTACCTTAAAAACAAAAGAACCAATGAACGAAACAACACCAAATTTGGCAACAAAACGTCTCACAACACAAGGAGTGACCATCACTCAAAAATTATGATTTTGTCATTTGGGAGTTGTAATTGCTGGGATTTATAGTTCACCTACAATCAAAGAACATTCTTTGGGAGTTGTAGTTCACCTACATGCTGAGAGCACTGTGGACTGAAACAATGATGGATCTGGACCAAACTTGGCACAAGCACTCAATACGTCCAAATATGAACAAAGATGGAGTTTGGGGAAAATAGATCTTGACATTTGGGAGTTGTAGTCACTGGGATTCACAGTTCACCTACAATCAAAGAGCGTTCTGAACCCCATGAATGGCAGAATTGGGGCAAACTTCCCACACTGAACCCCCATGACCAACAGAAAATACTTAAGGACACTGAGTGCAACTCCCATCATCAGGGCAAGAAAACGTAATCAAAGCCCTCCTGACAAAGAGCCATCCAGCCATCGATATAGATAGATATATATGATTCACACACACAGATGTAGTATCCTAGATTTGAAAGGGACCCCTAAAAGAAGGACAATTATATGTTGCCTGTTCCAGGGTGGGCAAACCAGACAATCTCCACATTAACACTGGCAAAGAAACACCAAGAAATACTGTTTACCCACAAGCAAAAAGACATTGCATAGATTAGAAACCAACAGTTTCTCATTACTTTATTTTCCAGATCACCAGACTGGGCCACAGCAACGCATGGCGGGGGTCAGATAGATAGATAGATAGATAGATAGATAGATAGATAGATAGATAGATAGATAGATATATTCGTTGCTACTTCATAGCTGTCATTTTGCTACTGTTGTGAATTGTCATATAAATATCTGATATACAGGATGTATGTATTTTCATTGATTGGACCAAATTTGGCACAAATTATATATGTGCGCAAAATTAGCAGACACATTCGAGGATCAATCCCTTTCCAATCAATGCCATGGGGAATCCCATTTGTGGCATCCTTCCATGTGAAATCATCTTTCTTTCTTTTTGCCTTTGGATCAGGTAGTTGTCAATGGGACCCCAAGTTCCTTGAAGTTTACCAGCTCAAGAAACCCTATGCATGGATATAGTTGGTCTTTTCGTCAATCCAGATGCCCTCAAAGAGCCCAATCCACGAGTCCCCTGTTTGGCATTCACTCCAAAGACAGTGGAATGTAAGTTTGGCAGAATCCTATTAATATATTCTCAGGCCCTGATCATATAATGCAGTTAATAGTACTTACAAGGTCATGCTCACACGTGTTTTGGGACCAGCATGGAGTGGTCTTGATGGAGCTCCTAGCAAAAGGATCCCATGATCACCGGGGCAGACTAGGCTTCACTGATGTGGAAATGGTGAGAGGCCATCCAAACCAAGAGGCAATGTGGCATGCTCCCCAAAGGTGCCCTCAACCTTCTGCAAGGCAATGCACCCATTCACAACTCACCTGTGGCCCAAATGGAATAAGCATGCTCCTCTGGTTTTGGAATTCTCCCGCATCTCCCTTATCCCTCCGACCTTGCACCATCGGGCTTCCACCTCTTTCCAACAGTGAAGTTACTTTTGAAGGGCAAGCGTTTCTCTGATGGTGAGACTCTGATTTCTGAAGTCACAACGTGGCTTTTGGAGCAACCTGTCGACTTCTACAAACGAGGTGTTGACAGTTGCTTAAAAAAGGATGGGAGACGTGTGTGTCCTTAGGTGGTGGCACCCATGGAGAGAGGAAAGACTCAGAACTGGGCCAAGTTGCATTGCTCTCAGCCCACAGGAAGTGGGTCACGGGAAATCTGGTCACCTTAGTGGATGATCTCTGCAGAGAGCTCAGCAGGGGGAGGAGTGTGTCCCTGTTGGTTCTGCTGGACCTCTCAGCAGCCTTTGATACCATTGACCACGGTATCTTTCTGTGGCGCCTCATAGGGATGGGTCTTGGGGATCGTGTTCTGCATTGGCTCCAGTCCTTCCTGGAGGGTCGTGCCCAGAAGGTGCTCAGCCCCACAGCCATTGTCCTGGGGGGTCCCGCAGGGCTCAGTATTGTCCCTCATGTTGTTTAACATCTACATGAAGCCACTGGGTGAGATCATCCAGAGTTTTGGAGTCCGATATCATCTGTACGCAGATGACGTCCAACTCTATCACTCCTTTCCACCAGATGCTAAGGAGGCTGTCCAAGTCCTGAACTGGTGCCTGGCTGGTCTGGATGAGGGCGAGCACATTAAAGTTGATTCCAGACAAGACAGAGGTCCTCCTGGTCAGTTGCAAGGCCAAACAGGTGCTGGATGGGGTGACACTCCCCTTGAAGTCACAGGTTCGCAGCTTGGGAGTTCTCCTGGATTCATCACTGAACCTGGAATCCCAGGTTGCAGTGGTGGCCAGGGGAGCATTCGCACAATTAAACTTGTGTGCCAGCTGCACCCATATCTTGGGAAGTCAGACTTGGCCATGGAGGTCCATGCTCTCGTTACACCTAGGATAGACTACTGCAACGCACTCTACACGGGGTTGCCTTTGAAGACTGCTCATGTATTGTTGCCATTTGCGTGAGAGTCCCAGTGGCTCAATTTCTAGTTTATTGAGAGTCTGCTGTATATTGTTGATTCATGCCAGAGATTTGATAAACAATGCAGAGGACCATAGGCAACCTCTCAGCCCAAGTGTCGGAAGGAGGCATTCTCTATCCCGTCTCCCAAACGGCGATGCAAGAAAACACGGTCCTTTGCAGCCCTTGGCTAGAAGGCGATGGAGCGGATCAGGGCCAGACTTGCGTCGACCCTTCAGAGAAGAGGGCCAAAGAGAATCGGAAACGGGAGCAGCACTTTGGAGCAGAGAGAGAAATTTGGAGGTGGAACTCAACTTGATGCAGTTTGAGCTGTTCTCCCTCAAACAGAAGGTAATGGGGGAACTCTCCAGAACTCGGGCGATGGCGGTGGGATGCATCTCTACCAGTGGCTCTCAACTTTCCTCATGCTGCGACCCCTAAATGCAGTTCCTCACGTTGTGGTGACCCCCAACCGTCACATTATTTCCATTGCTACTTCAGAACTGTCATTTTGCTACTGTTGTGAATTGCAATGTAAATATCTGATATGCAGGATGTATTTTCGTTCACTGGACCACATTTGGCACAAATACCTGATACACCCAAATTTGAATACAGGTGGAGTTGCAGGCAGGATTGAATTTGTCATTTGGGAGTTGTAGTTGCTGGGATTTATAGTTCACCTACATCAAAGAGCATTCTGAACTCCACCAACGATGGAATTGAACCAAACTTGGCACACAGTTCTCCCATGATCAACAGAAAATACTGGAAGGGTTTGGTGGGCATTGACCTTGAGTTTTGGAGTTGTAGTTCACCTTCATCCAGAGAGCACTGTGGACTCAAGCAATGATGGATCTGGACCAAACTTGGCACGAATACTCAATACTCAATATGCCTAAACACTATATATATATAAGGTCAGACTCATACAATCCGGTTCAAAGCAGATAATGTGAATTATTTGTTATGATAATCTGGGTCATATGGTAGTGTAGAAGGGGCCTGTATTGCAATGGTCGAAGCCAGCCCGGGTTGGAGTGGGTGTCCAGCCATTGTGTAGCCTGTTGTCGACCTTTGCAACCCGAAAGACAGTTGCATCTGTCAAGTAGGAAAATAAGGTAGCACCTTGTGTTGGAGGCTAAATTAACTAATTTATGAGGCCATAAAGAAAAGACTCCGGGGAATGTGGAATCGGAAGAACTTCATCGGTGTCACTGGTGGACGATGAAAGCAGCAGCTCCCCTGGCGGCCAGAAAAACGTTAAATAGCCTCTGTGTATTGTCTGTATATGTTGTTTGTCAAACTGGCATTGTATGTTTGCCATATATGTGTATACTGTAATCCGCCCTGAGTCCCCTGCGGGGTGAGAAGGGCAGAATATAAAAACTGTAAATAAATAAAATAAATAAATGGTAACCATCTGCCTATCTAAGTCCTCAATGAGGACTACAAGCTTGTGCAGGATTGGCACAAAGGGCAGAATGCTCAGGGGCAGGCAATGCCCTTGTTCCTCCAGTGTTAAGCTTTGCCTTCCTCCAGTGTTAAGCTTCACAACGTGCCTCCCAAACCTGCCCTGATCCCTCACCTTTTCCGCAGCAGATGGAGAACTCCTTGGCTCACCTGGAAAAAGAAAAGAAATGGCTGGAGACGAGTTTCCTGGAAAACCGGAAGCAAGAAGGAGACTTGGATAAGAAGTGAGCGGGGTCTCTCTAAATGCCGAACCTTCAATGTCCCTATCACTCCGCGATCTGACTCCTTTAGAGATGATCAATCATATCAATTAGTAGTAACAGTTTTTCTGTAATCAAATGGTAGGTGGGTGAAGGGATCTCACTCATAGATCCATCTGCCTGCCTTTTGTAGGATCTTTAACGTGGAAATGGAGTTGGAGAAAACTAAGACTTATTTAGGCCAAAGGAACCAGAAATCCTTGCCAGAAGCATCCACAGATTCCAGCCAAAATGGAGTTGCGGTAAGGAAGGTCTAAACACCCCGTTATTTGCATGAATTTTGGTGCCAAAACATGGACTCTTGTTTATGTTGCAGTTATGGAGCAATGCAGAAAACGTTAGGCATTAGGCCTGGGCAATGCATGGTTCTAAATGGTTCTAAAGTACTTACAAAACTAAAGTTCTGGTGGTGAAAATTTCAGAACTCCAACAAAACTTTCCAAAATTTAATTATTATTTCGTTATTGGTGATTTTTATGATAGAACCAATTAAGGAACTGCCATTTATAATGAAATTTTGAGAGTTTTGTTAGAGTTCTGAAATTTTCACCACCAGAACTTTAGTTTTGTAAGCACTTTGGAACCATTTAGACCCATGCATTTCCCAGGCCTGTTAGGGATGCATAAATGCAAATATAACATTTTTGCACTTATGCATCCCTAACATTTTCTGCATTGCTCCATATCTTGTTTTGTTTGTTTATTATTATTATTATTATTATTATTATTATTATTATTATTATTATTATCCCAAGACTGGAACTCAAAACAGCCCAAAGCCTTAAAAACGATACAATTTAAAAACCTACAAAATATAAATCCTAATGTATTGTCGAAGGCTTTCATGGCCGGAATCACTGGGTTGTTGTGAGTTTTCCGGGCTGTCTGCACATGTTCCAGAAGCATTCTCTCCTGACGTTTCACCCACATCTATGGCAAGCATTCCCAGAGGTTGTGAGATCTGCTGGAAACTAGGAAAATTGGATTTATATATCTATGGAAGGTCCAGGGTGGGAGAAAGAACTCTTGTCTGTTGGAGCCAGGTGTGAATGTTTTGATTGGCCACCTTGATTAGCAGCCGTTTCAAGGTCTGGCTTCTTACTTATTAGCTAATCACCTCCCAACAAAGGATTCCCCCAGTTGGCAAGAAGCCAGATCTTGAAACTGCTGGGCCATTTAATGCTAATAAAGGTGGGCAATTGAAACATACCTCCAACAGACAAACCTTTTACTGAAGGTCAGGAGGGAGGGCGCTGATCTAAGCCCTAAACGACTCCGGCCCAATTTACCTGTCAGAACGTATCCTCCCCTATGAACCATCAAGATTGTTAAGATTGTCTGGACGGGCCCTGCTCTCGATCCCACCGACCTCACAGGCGCGGCTGGTGGGGACGAGAGACAGCCTTCTCGGTGGTGGCCCCTTGACTCTGGAACTCCCTTCCACTGGAGATCAGAACTGCCCCTTCTATCTTAAAGTTCAGGAAACAGGTCAAAACTTGGCTTTAGGGACTGGCATTCGACGAATGAGCCATGATCTTGTGATATGGATGGATGACGACGAATAATGATTTTTGATGACGACTGACCACTGTAATTATATGATTGTATTTTGCTATTTTAATGTTTTAGTGTGATTTAGAATATGATGTTTTAATGACTGTCTGTAATATTGATGTTGGAAACCGGCCTAAGTCCCTCGAACGGAGGTGAGAAGACCGGTATACAAAACTGCTAAATAAATAAATAAATAAATTTCATTGGGGAGGGAGTTCCATAGTTGAGGAGCCACCACTGAGAAGGCCCCTATTGCACCTGCGAGGGAGGTGGGACCGAGAGCAGGGCCTACCTGAATGATCTTAATCCCTGAGATGGTTCATAGAAGGAGATACGTTCAGACAGGTCAGCTAGGCTGGAACTGTTTAAGGCTTTATAGGCCAAAGCCACCACTTTGAATTGTGGTCGGTAGCAGAGTGGCAGCCAGTGGAGCTGGCGTGACGGGGGTTGTATGCGCCCTGCATGCCGTGCTGGTGAGCAACCTGACTGCCGCCTGTTGGACCAATTGGAGCTTCTGAACAGTCTTCAAAGGCAACCCCACATAGAGAGCATTGTAGTAGTCTATTCAGGATGTAACCAGAGCGTGGACTACTGTGTCCAAGTCTGATTTCCCAAGGTATGGGCAAAACTGGTGCAAAAGCTCTTCTGGCCACCGCCGAAACCTGAGGTTCCAGGCTCAGCGATGAGCCCAGCACAGGCCATAACCCTGTACCCTGTTTGGCCTTGCAACTGACCAGGAGGACCTCTGTCTTGTCTGGATTCAAATTCAATTTGTTTGCCCTCATCCAGACCGTCACAGCTGCCAAGCACCGCCTCAGGACCTGGACAGCCTCCATAACAATAGGTGGAAAAGAATAGTAGAGTTGAACATCATCTGTTTAATAAACTTTCCCCATGTTTTTATTATAGAACTAATTAGGAAGTGGCATTGATAACCCAGGAGCCAAAATCGTGTTATATAGTGCAGTTCAATCTGCAAATATTAAACTCACAAAGGTTGAATTGAATCAAGTGAATTAACTCACTCAACAGGAGAAGGCCCGTCTGGGGCTGACTGGGGTATTGGGTCGCAATCTGTGCTCAACGGGGTCACACTCCGCCTGAGGGTGCAGGTCCGTAGCTTGGGGGTCCTCCTGGACTCAATGCTGTCGCTTGATGCTCAGGTGTCAATGGTGGCCGGGAGGGCTTTTGCACAACTCAAACTTGTGCGCCAGCTGTGATCATACCTTGTGAAGTCCACGCCTTGGTTACATCCAGACTGGACTACTGCAATGCGCTCTATGTGGGGCTGCCCTTGAAGACGGCCCGGAAGCTCCAATTGGTACAATGGGCGGCAGCCAGACTCTTTACTGGAGCAAACTATAGGGTGCCCCTTTTAAAACAGCTTCACTGGCTGTCGATAAGTTGCCAAGCCAAATTCAAGGTGCAAGTTATGACCTATAAAACCCTAAACGGTTTAGGCCCCACCTATCTTCGCGATCACATCTCCCTCTATGAACCGGCGCGAACTTTAAGATCTTCCAGGGAGGCCCTCCTCTCGCTCCCACCACCATCACAAGCACGGTTGGTGGGGGCGAGAGAGAGGGCCTTCTCGATGGTGGCCCCCCCACCTCTGGAACACCCTCCCGGGGAAATTAGACAGATCTCACCCCTCCCCTCCTTTCGTAAGAGCCTCAAGACCTGGTGGTTTCAACAAGCTTTGGAGAATGAATAGTTCTAGCTCTGCCCCAGATACGGTTGAAATTGGCCATATCTTTTTCTACCAATTACCTAGGTCACTCTCTTCTATGAGGCCCCAGAAATTTATAGCCATAGACTATTCCTAATTTCCCGGCCCCTCTAAAATTGCATTAGCCCATCCTAGCCTTTTAAATTGCCTTGAACAGGCAGGATTATTTTAAATATATGTGCTATTGTGATTTTTTTTATGCTTATATTGTCTTGTTAATGTTATGTTTATGCTGTTTTCTTTGTATGTATTGATGATGTCACTTGGAAACTGCTCTGAGTCCCCTCGGGGAGATAGAGTGGTATATCAATAAAGTTTTGTTTGTTTGTTTTGTTTGTGAGAAGGTTAATGAGCTGAATCTGGAACTGCAACCGGCTCTTTTGGATCAGAAGAGACTCCTCGAGGTATAGTGCCACTTGGTTAAATGTGTTTTTGGTGCACGTTCCCTTTGCGTCCCCTTAACGGACTCGACAGACCTTATGGAGATGACGCTTTGGTTTTCAGGAGAAAGTGGCCCTCCACCAGCAGGTTGAGCAGCTGACTCTGGAGCTGGAATGTATCCAGAAGCAGAAAGAAGCCTTCCAGGACCAAGTCTCAGCTCTCTGCTTGGAGCTTTCTGATGCCAAGAGCCAGGTCCATGACCTAGACAAGGAGAAAGTCCTCATGAAGGAGGAGCTGGAGTCCACCAGACAGGTTAGCCCACTTCTGGACGTGCATCTTGTGCCTCCAATCCTAGAAGAGTTCAACAGATCCTATGCATCATTGAGTCTAGCCTATTACTCGGTGCAGGATCATCATTTAGATTCTAGAGCACTGGTTCCCAACCTGTGGTCCATGGACCACCAGTGGTCCACAAAAACTAAAGTATGGTCCACAGCCTCACAATTACTACACTGTTGCAAAGACAGCGACTGGTCTTGCGCTGAGGCTTATGAAATATGGTTTTCTGTGGCTGAGCAGATGGTGACTACTGGATGGCATAGATTCTGTATCAGAAACTAGAGCTGATGTGGTCTATCCAATGCAATTTTCTGAATCAGCACCCAAAAGAACCAAAGCAAATCCAAAGTTGACCAAAACTGATTTGTTACCCTTTTGGTACTAATGTTGGAGGATGGTCCTTGGTCAAAGTGGTCCCTGGTCAAAAAAAGGTTAGGAACCACTGTTCTAGAGCAATGCTTCCCAAACTGTAGTCCTCCAGATGGTTTGGACTTCAGCTCCCAGACGCCTCAGCTGTCTCAAGCAATGATGAGGGATTCTGGGAGGTGTAATCCATAACACTCGGAAGACCATCCCCAGTTGGCATCTGTCCAGATGAAGAGACCTATCGCATCTCTAGGCAGTTGATCCCATGGTCAGACTGCTCATACCCTCATGAAGTTCCTTCTCACGTTCCATCAAAATCTACCCTTGTGTAACTTGTAGCTATTGGATCTGGTCCAGAGCAGCCTCTTCTTTCACCTATTTGGAGTTGCTCTTCAGGGTTCTCTTTGCCAAGGAAAACCAATTCAACCTCTTCAAGCTTTCCTCGTGTGTTGTGTTCTCCATACCGATTCCAACCTTCGTTGGTCTTCCCTGAACCTGTTCCAACTGATCTACGAAGGGTTGGATTTTGTAGGGTTTTCTGTGTGGCAAGAAACTGTCTATCCGATTTGGGGAATGGGAATCAAAGGTCCATGGTGACATTGGGAGCCACAGGAAATGCTGTGGGATCAAGTCAACATTTGGGACTCTCAAAAATGAAACTGGAAAGCACAGGTACGCAATCTGACACTTCCAAGATTTGACCCATCCAAAGCCTGTTGGAATTAAAACTCTGCGATTCCCTCTTCCAGGCGAAGGAAGAGCTTTTGTCCGAGGTGGCTGAAAGTCGCCAGAGGCTTGAGGACTCTTTGGGAAAGCTCCATCACATGGAAACGGAGAAGAACGTCCTAGACAACCGTATCCAGGCCCTGGAAAGTGAACGTTCACGCCTGCTGGATGAGAGGGAAGCCGTCCACTCAGAGAACCAGGCCGATGGGAGAAAGCGGGAGGAGGAAACAAAGGCTCTCCAGGAAAGCTGTGGAAATCTCAGGTAGTTGAGAGAAGATATGGAAAGAATATTCAGTTGTGGTAGTGGTTTGGGTGTTGGACTACACTGCATAGCAAAGCCTGAAAATGTAACGGTATCCAAAAGTCCCAAGCTCAGCTCCCCGGGCATAGCCCGACCAATCAGATTCATGCATCTTATTTTACAGGTAATACACACACATTAACTGATTTCTTACATGCCCCAACAAATATCACCAGCAATATCGCATGCAATATATAATATACTAGCTGTATCCGCCATGTGTTGCTGTGGCCAATCTTCCTTCCCTCTTTCACTCTTTTCTTTCCTTCCTTCCTCCTTTTTTTTCCTTCTTCTTTCTTCCTTCTCTACCTGTGTCTTTCCTCTCTTCCTTTGCTTTTTGGTTCCATCCATCCTTCCCTCTCTCATTCCTTATTTATTTCAATTCTTTTATTTCCTTCTCTCCTTCCTTCTCTACCTTTCTTTCCTTCTCTCCTTCCCTCCTTCTTTCCCTCTTCTTCTCCCTCCTTCTCTCCTTCCTTTTCCCTTTCTGTGTATATGTGTATTGTGTGTGTGTATATGCGTATATGTGCATGTATATCTGTGTGTTTATGTATATTCTGTGTATGTGTTTTGTGTGGGAATTGTGCCATCGCGCCTGGGGGCTATAGCTCTTAGTGAAAGAGGCATGGACGTGACATCTTTCCCCAGGGGATTGCTTCTTGCCCTCCTTCAGGAAACTCGAACTCTCAAAGACCCAAAACACTGTAGATAACTCAAAATAAGTTTTATTGATCACAAAGAATTATTTCTTTAAAGCAATGAGCTGGAAACTTCAGAGGGGTGAAGGAAAATATATGTTACAGTCTCAGTTAGTCCTGGGTCCAAGGAGTTTGAAGCTGAGAAGCTTTTCCAAGTTTCCTCTTTCCTCAATGGCTGTGAATGCTGGAGCAATCCACAACCCCAGTTCAAATGGCCTATGATTGAAGACTCAGTATCTTCCTCTGGTGCCAAAAGAAACAGTTTGAAGGTGCTTGAGACTTCCAATGTCGTTCAGGTTGGTCTGAACATGAAGCATAAGTCTCAAGGGTAAAAAACCTCAGAATTGGTGCTGAGAGATAATTTAATCAGGGGCTTTTAGAGCCAAGTCTCTTACTCACATCCATCTGATAGAAACTCTGATGGCAGAATGAAAAAGGAAAGCACTCCCCTCCTCCAGGAAGAGGTGGAGCCAAACAATACTGATTGACAGCTATAAATAACCAATCAATCCAACTATACATAAGCAGGGTAAAAAGGCAGGATTAAGCATGATACAACAGTTTAAATCTTGCAACTAACAGTTCTACACATAGGTGGCGCCACTCATGCCATCACAGGTATATATGCATATATGTGTGTGCATATATTTGCGTATATGAGTATATATGTATGTTTGTGTATATTTTGTGTATATGTGTTTTGTGTGTGTATATATGCGTATATGTGTATATATATTTGTGTATATATGTATGTTTGTGTATATATGTGGTTTTGCACATGCGTTGAAATGTATTTTTTTATTTTTTGGCTTTTTAAGTCCCATCTGCTGTGTTTTTCAGTGTTTTTAATGACTGATGGACACTCATTGAAAGGTGTCAATTCGTCCCATGGTTTTTGAGTTCTGTTAATCCCACAAACGAACTTTACATTTTTATTTATATAGATAACCACTATGTTGCATTATTAGTAGCATTATATTGTATTACATTGCAATATTATTATCAATATTATATGTACATACAATATATTATATTATTAGCACAGAAAAATATTAGTATTGTACATTACTTATATTGTAGTATATGACTATATGCAATATTATTAGTAATATTACATCTAATATATTATATACCCATTGGGTGGCCTTAGACAAGTCACATATTCTTAGTGTCACAAAATCCCATCATAATAGGGTTGACAAATCAGATGGGGGACTCTAGTAACATGCAACAAGCTGCAATCATTTGGGTTCCCAGGATGGCTTGAACTAGCTAGAAAGATGATATCCCGGGGATGACTGTTTGTTGAATTAATTGGTCACTCTTTGGGGGGTTGTTATCCAAAGTGTCCTTCAAGCTCTGCTTTGTGTAGGTATATGGGTCTTCTTTCTGCTTCAACAGGGAGTCTCAGGCCTTGCAGCAAAGGCAGAAGGAGTGCCTTCAGGCAACGAGTTGCCAGGAGCTGGAAGTGGCTTTGCACCGCAAGCTGGTCGAGACGGAAAACCAGTTGGCGGAGCAAAAGCAAGTCTCCCTTTACTGGAAGGAGAGATGGGAAGAGGCCGCTGCCGCCTTGAAGACCAAAGAGGAAGAACTGGAGGCCGTTCGGACGCAAAGCCAGGCCTTCTCGGCCAAGGTATGGCCAAGGAGTCGGTCTCCTTCCCTTCTCGTTCTCCACGAGTGAGCGCCTTTCTCGGCAGACAACAATGCCGGAATGGCTCGAGAAAAGCATTCCCTTTCTCTCCATACATTGGTCCTTGGCTCCCACTGGGATTTGGGTCCAGATGACAAAATCTATGGATGCTCAAGTTCTATCATATACAATGACTAGCTTGGGTACCCGGTGTTGCCTGGGTTATTGGGAAAAGGCAGTTTTTTAATTGTGCCAAATGCATATGGTCAGAG